CAAGTCCCTTGCTTCGAGCTAGCCGCTGAAAACGCTCCAGAGAAAGAGTCAAAAAGTGGTCAGAAAAGCTCGTTTTTGACCAGTTTTTGACTGATTCTCGGCTCAGGAAGTCTGGCTGAGAGTCGGGACTGTGCGGAATCGATTCTACGCCACCGACTACATAGGATGCGCCTGAAATCTTGAAATTTTTTTCTTAGTCCCAAATCGAGATAAATCGACAGGGGTTACATGGACTAAATTATTAGCGACAAAATCGATAGTTCGCTGATCGGGCCGAAACCAAGTAAGCTCGCTTGGAATTGACCCGCCGAGTGCAATTTTCCAGTCGGAATAGCTCCGCAAGTCCCTTGCTTCGAGCTAGCCGCTGTAAACGCTCCAGAGAAAGCGTCAAAAAGTGGTCCAAAAAGCTCGTATTTGACCAGTTTTTGACTGTTTCTCGGTTCAGGAAGTCTGGCTGCGAGTCGAGACCGTGTGGAATCGATTCTACGCCACCGACTACATAAGATGCGACTGAAATCTTGAAATTTTTTTCTCAGTCCCAAATCGAGAAAAATCGACAGGGGTTACATGGACTAAATTATTAGCGTCAAAATCGATAGTTCGCCGATCGGGCCGAAACCAAGTAAGCTCGCTTGGAATTGACCCGCCGAGTGCGATTTTCTAGTCGGAATAGCTCCGCAAGTCCCTTGCTTCGAGCTAGCCGCTGAAAACGCTCCAGAGAAAGAGTCAAAAAGTGGTCAGAAAAAGCTCGTTTTTGACCAGTTTTTGACTGTTTCTCGGCTCAGGAAGTCTGGCTGAGAGTCGGGACCGTGCGGAATCGATTCTACGCCACCGACTACATAGGATGCGACTGAAATCTTGAAATTTTTTTCTCAGTCCCAAATCGAGAAAAATCGACAGGGGTTACATGGACTAAATTATTAGCGTCAAAATCGATAGTTCGCCGATCGGGCCGAAACCAAGTAAGCTCGCTTGGAATTGACCCGCCGAGTGCGATTTTCCAGTCGGAATAGCTCCGCAAGTCCCTTGCTTCGAGCTAGCCGCTGAAAACGCTCCAGAGAAAGCGTCAAAAAGTGGTCCAAAAAGCTCGTATTTGACCAGTTTTTGACTTTTTCTAGGCTCAGGATGCCTTGCCGATTGTCAACATTGCGCGGAACCGATTCTATGCCTCCAACTACGTAGGATGTGACTGAAATCTCGAAATTTTTTTCTCACTCCAAAATCGAGAAAAATCGACAGGGGTTACATGGACTAAATTTTTAGGGTCAAAATCGAAAATTCGCCGATCGGGCCGAAACCAAGCTTGTTCGCTTGAAAGGGACCCGCTAAATCCGATTTTCCGGTCGGAAAAGCTCTGCGAGTCCGCTGGAACGGGCTACTGCCGAATAACGCATTTTTGCGACAGGGTTAGAAATACTCGTTTTTGATGGTTTCTCGGCTTAGGAGGCCTCGCTGAGCCTCGGGACCATGCACAATCGATTTGATCTCCTTTTGATAACGACGTTTATGGATGAAAAACTATAATGACTTGATAGAATGAGGGGTTTTTTTGTTTATTGGGTTAAAGGGAAGAAAATATAAATTGAGATTTTTTGTAAAAATGGGGGAGGGGCATTTTCACGAGGAATGATTCGCTAAATCTCTCTCCACATCTTTGGTGCAACAGGACTTAATTATCTCTCAAGATAATCCACTTTGTTATCCCTGAACCGGACAAACCTTTTATTTTGTTTGAGCTAAAGACTCTTGGATTTTTCGTGTGTGCGATTACTTCGCGACGGCGCATAACACGCGGGCTGCGTGGCTTCAAGCCACTGTTACGCCACGGAGGACACGGATGTGTTGCACAATATCATACGAGATTCAAAGCACCCCAACGTATCATGCTCGATGGCATCTTTCAAAAGCACGATGTTCCCTCGTAAATTTAATCGAGTGACGACGACAGAAAGGGAGTGGTAGTCGAAAAACTTAGCAAGTCCAGGTATCCGTAATCAATAACATTTAGGTTGATTTTTAAACTTCATTAGAAGCAAACGTGGCCTAATTCAAACAGGAATATGCTCAAATTTACCGCCGAGAAGATTTCGACGGTCTAAGTCGGCAATCTTATGACTCGGTTTGTGACGTCGCAGACTTCCTGTCATGCTTTATTTTTTAAACGGAAAACTACTCGACGGCAATTCTTTAAGACTGTCATTATTTTTCTTCTCTGTGTGAATGAAAATTTGCATACAGTTCAAGGAGGGATGTCCATTTGTTCTCCTTTAAAAAAATGATAAAGATGTGGAGATTTTCAGACCCCACAAACGAGATATGTGATTGCGGACTTACACCGTCGATTTTCTTATAAATCAATAAAGAAAATAATGCTTGTATAAAGATGAAAATATGCTTTTATAACAAGAAAAGTCACTTACATTAGATATGTACAAGAACTTAGTTCCTGTAACAATGATACCATCAATTACGTCATATGCTCTGACTCTCTTTCCTCACTCCGCACCTTGAAATACAACCCTACTAATCATCCCTTTTCAATGTTAATCCATGATACTGTTCATTCCTTATTGGCCAATGGCCACTCCACCTCTTTTATCTGGGTACCGGCTCATATAGGAATTCTGGGAAACGAAACAGCGGACAGAGCAGCCATTGAAGCATGCTCTTTGCAGAACATCACTCACCATCCATTCACTCAGCAAGATGCTAAAAAAGCTATGTGCGAACTTATCACAAAATCGTGGGAACAAGAATGGAGCACAAGTGAACAGAATCGTCTCCGTAGAGCCCCCATGCCATATCCAAGAACATCTAACCACAAATCAAGATCATGTGAAGTCCAAATTGCGCGTCTCAGGATAGGTCACACTTTTTTCACTCACTATTATATCATATCTAAAGAAAACCAACCCACCTGCCACTTCTGCAATTCATCACCTCTAACCATCAAACACATACTTATGGACTGCTCTTCCCTCCGACATCTCCAATCACAGATCTACTCCCCTTCATTCAACAGAAATACAAACCCTCTTACATGCGATGAACCTAATATTGCCACCAAAATTCTGAAACTCTTTACCTCTCTTAATTTAAAAATCTAAATTTTCGTTTATACTCCTATATATTTTCAAAATTACCTGTAAAGACGTTAATAGCCTGAGTCGCTGAATGTCTCAAAATTATAATAACTAACTAACTCACTTACATCAAGCAGAAACCCGCTTTCATTCAGCTAACTTATTATTGATTCAAAATAAAATCTTTTTGACGGCACATTTAAGAATGTTTTTTTCCTGAATCAAAAACACTTTCAAGTCACTTTTTGCTCTAATGAAATTCAAAAATTATGCTGAACGTTATTGAATATAGATGCTATGACTTAGTGAATTTTTTGGGTTACCGCTCTCTTTTTATGCCGTAGTATCTTGATTTATTTTGCGAGGAAAGCTCGCTCTCTTGACGGACGCCTGTCAGACTTGATGCGTTTAAGCGCCTTCAATTTTGTATGATACTGTGCAACAACTCTGTCGCGAAATAGTTGCTTGAAGCGCCGTGGCACTCCGCAACTTGGCCAGCAACCAGAGTGACACGCGTATGGGCGCCTACAAACCTAACTGGGATACTTCACGCATTGCGCAATGCGTGAAGTATTCCTGTTAGTTTTGTAGGCGCTGGCTGCCAGTACGTCGCTGAGTGATCCACTAAGTGGGACTTCGTAGTCAGGAAAGCTCCACGAGTCCGGTGAATCGCGCGAGGAGTCTCGGGACCACGCGCAAATGATTCAGCGCCTAGGATCTTTTACCTCAACTTAGCCTATTTAAGATTCAACACTAATCTCGAGATTTTTCTTCTTAATAAAGATCGAGAAAAATCGACAGTGTCAGTGGTACCATGGCCTGAATGGGTCTGTTGCATGAAAAGATACAGCCAACAGAGTACTCTGATTACGGGTAAATTTGTTCAAAAATCACCTTGGGCACATCATACATTTCCGAAATCCTCACCCTAGCGCGAAATCTGCGCAGTTTTTAACCCGCTTTTTCAAGTTTTCCGCTTATCCGGGCAGTTTTTCCTTAATTTCCGCCAACAGGCAGAAGAGGGAGAAAGAATTACCTAAATAAACAAAGGATTGACTAACTTTTTCTTCATTTTGCAAAAACGAAAGCTTTAATCAATTAAATTATTCCACAAGGAGAGTTTATAACAGTTTGCAAGATTGTTTGTTTTAGGGTATAGGTCTCTCTTCGGGCAAACCTGACTGTCAGCCATCAAGAAAAACTGTCCACATAGGTACGCGGCAAGTTTGGAAAAGCGTGTTACGAACTACGCAAATTGCGCGTTAAGGAGTGGATTTTAGACTCTTTTGACGTGCCTCACGTGATTTTTGCGCGAATTTTCCCTCAAAGAATAGAATCAGCTGGCTGTATCTCTTGCTAGCAATGAACCCACTTTCGGAGTCAAAATCGAAAGCTCTCCAATAGGGCTAATATCAAATTAGTCGCCCCATAGAAATAACCCGCTGAGTGGAATTTCCATGATTATATTAGCATAATTTTATGATTACATCTGAATATGCCTACAAAAGATATCAATAATAGGTGATGCACTCAATGATCGTCAAATTAAGAATTCCAAGTAGGTCTTTCCGAATGTCTTTATTCGTCCATTCACAAGTCTCCAAAAAATAATGACTTTACATTTGCACCTGTTTCACATCACGCATCATCACCGTTAATGGTGGCCGTGCTGTTTAAATTATAGATTGAGAGCAGATTTGAATTCGGAATATGAGTTAGAGCGAATAAAATGGCCGTTTCTAAAGTAAGCAGATACACTTAAAGAGGAAGCTATCAGTTTGTTAGAATTCCGAATTTTTCTTTCGGATTCTCCCAAGAAAAAGAATATTCGAAAAAAGCGAATGCAATATTGCAGAGATGAAAAAGGTCGTTTTATTCAATCTGCATTAGCAGACTGCATAGCAGCTAACGATCTCTTACCTAGTTTTTAAGCAACTAGGTCCGTCTGCTCGCGTGAACGGTCGCAAACTGACAAATTCAAATTTTACTTATGTGAGTGTGTTTTCCACAATCTCACTTCACTAAAAATTGCATAATCGAGGCAGTTTACAACTTGCCAAGATTTATTATTTAAATTTGTAGACTCCAACGAAAGAACGTGACTACATTTCAATGTTGCCAAATTTCTCCTCGCAAACTGCAGTTTTGACGGGGGAATCTTAGGATTTATCGACTGAAATTATATCGCCGATTTTTCCTCTGATTTTCGAGCAGAAATTAGAGAAATTGTGAACAATAATTGCATAGGTACATTCTTGGTAAACATTTAAATGGCAAAGGCAATTTTTTGGTTTTTAAGTCAATTTAGCAACATTGTAATGGAGTTAGGTTATTTTTCGTCGGGGAAACGACGAATTGTGGCCGCCCACGAGAGAAGGAGGTCTCCATTTACGGAACCAAAGTTTTCATCAATGCAATTCTTGTCGAGTTGGGAGTAATAGTTAGATTTTAGAATTCCGACTCCTCTTCATCTTTTATACAGTTTGTTACCTTTGTCTCAAGTCATTATTGTGTCATTAGTTGCATAAATGGACTACATTTTGCAATTTGGACCTATAAATTCCGGCCCGGTTTAAAAACAACGTATGTACCATTAGTTTTCCGATGCACATAAGTGTTTCTTCAGATGAGCCAGAATTTATAGGTCCAAATTGTGAAATGCAGTCCAAATATTCCGCGATATCTTGTCTGAACTGAACCGAAACGCAGCGGCTCAGGGCTTTAATTAGCTTAATCTCAATTTTTTGCGAACTTCAAACCGTCATTTCTTAGATTTGGTTCATACACTGCGGTGTCTTTTACATCAAATCGTTCTAAGTGCATTTCTCTATGCCTCAATCAGATGCTCAATGACTCAACTTTGAGTTTTTATAGATAGAGGCCCCTCTTCGCACGGACAATCGCTCGTGTAAATCAGTACGTTTTGTTTCTAAAGAAACACCTCTTTTTAAGCTGCGATCTCGAAAGGTTTTCAATAAATAATGATGGTAAGACAACCTTCATCAGTGCGACTGGTATTTTTAAAATGCAACCATTACAGATAATTTAAATATAACACGTTGGGAAATTACATTGAGGAATAGGTTTTTAATCACGTCTGATCCGACATTTTCAGGGAGTTACTTCCGTTTCTCCGCTAATTTTTTATCGAATTACTTATTAATAGTTTAGGTTAAAGGGCTGGAGTTTAGAAAAATGAATATTCAAGCTGAAGCCATTTTAGGTAAAAATACTCGGCACAAGTTTTTCATTAGGCCGTTGCGATCAGTTAGATAGGCAGAAGAAGCAAAAATATTTCAAAATCATCCAAAAGTGTAGCCCTTGATGCATACCTATACGCTTAAGATGTTTGTTGCAAAAATACACATAATATGTCATCCGTCCGACCTTCCTTTAATCAAAGACGTTTCGAACCTTACACCTCATTGGATTGTAAGTCCAAAATTGTACCAAAATGGTCACTTTTGTTGGGTTTGTATCCGAATTTCGAGATCTTATACCCCCTAGCGTTGATTTTGGGAATTGTTTTAAGTTTGAGGGAATGGGTTGCTTGATTGAATTTTGAAATGCATAGGATTGAAAATCCGAATCCAGATGGGTATTTTCATCACTAAATATCTCAGGGGCTCACTTTTGTGTTCATTCAGTAAGTGCCACAGAAGACAAATAATTTTTAAAAGGTATCTATACAATAACAAAAAAAATCCTTTGCAAACAAAATCACAGTAGGTATTTATTTAATAAAAAGATTGATCATTATTGAAACTAAATTGAAGGCCGCCGCAGCTTTTCCGTTTGTTTCTGCAGAAAGCCAGGGATTTCTCCTCATTTTCTGTCTAACTAAGCCTCAAAACTCCTAGAACGGAATTCAGGTGGCTAAATAATTATTGCAAATAAATTTCTTAGAAAAATAACCATAAAAACAAATTAATAATTACGCAATAAAGTAAAAATTGTAACAAAATGTCCACTAGGTGCGCTAAAATTGTCTGCAGACTTGTTCCGTCGGGGGAAACGTGAAAATGAAGCTCTGAATCGAGTTGCCAATTAGAGGGTAAGTGAAATTACGTATCATACATTTTGTACAATTTACAAAATAACTTATGTAAAAAAGATTCCAGTGTCCTTTACAATAAAAAAGGGTACGAAGCGAGTTGAATGGGCAATCCATTTCTAATTGGCAAAAAAGGCTTTGGATATTAACCTGGTTGGTATATCGGATAAGGCTACTTTTATGTGATATTTGATTTAATAATTTACAAATATAATTTGCTAATTAATGGGTAAAAAAGGTAAATAATACATAATGTAAACAAAGAAACGTAAAAATTATGATGCTTTTGAGGTCTTCGGGCTTTCTGCTCGAGGTGTGGATTCTCCGGCCATCGGCTCCTGCACAGAAAATAATAAAGAGGGTTCGTGTTAATAAACTAGAAACTATGAAAAATTGACGCCAATTGTCAAAGAAAAGAATCAGCATTCTAACACATGTAAATAAGACCTATTTCCAAGCACGGCTAATTCCGTTGGGAAGAGCCATACACATCAGAGTTTCATCATGAGTTTGAGGCATACGGAGTAATGGGCGTGAGGGTGAGGCTTTATTGGGTAGTGGCCGCCACGAGGCATACTCTAAGAATTGAAGGCGTTTCGATTTATCTTGTTTCGGCCCATTGCATTGTGTCAGATTGAAATCCAATGATCTAATTCGATAATCGCCGAGTAAATTACTCTGATGTCTGAAACTTTAGCTCCATGGATTTACTTTGTTGATGAGCGATCCATGTATTGGTTTACTTATCTTACAATAAGCTTGCCATACCAAACGAGCAGAAGCAATTCCTGTAAGTCTTTAGCCCTGGATTTCCACAATTTAAATCTTTATGAACAATCGATCTCAGATGAGACAGCCTACTTCGATGAACATCGCGTGTTTTACGTGTGTTAAATGGCCGTGACCCAAAGTTGCCAACTCGTGCGAGAATGGACCACTATAGACAAGGTACGAATTAAGCAATCTGATACATGTTCTTTACCCAGAATTTCGCGTAGAACTCGATTAGCGCAACAAATATTACGAAAACTAGCTCCTAACGAAGATATTAACGATTTTATTTCACATTGGTTACGAGGAATTTGAGCTGCCCGCTCACAAGAAATTCAAAGCTCTACGTGAGTCAAATCGTGCACTACGACGGTTTCAGAAAGCTCCTCAATCGAGCAATGTTCATTTCCCACCATATGTTGTTCACACTATCGGCAATTTGCTATAGCTGAGCCAAAGCGTCAAAATTGAGGTTGCCAGATTTTTAAATCGCAGATACTGTCATGATAACGTTTAGCGCGCGATGTAAATTAAGTAGAGCATTGAGTTTTCATGAGCGGGTGGTTTAAATTTACGCATCGGAATCATTAAATATCTTCGTAAAGAGTTGATATCGGTAATTTTCATTGTGCGCATCGTGTTTTACGTGAAATTTTGGTTTAGAAACTTATATCAGAATGCTGAAATCCGTGCCTTGTCTAGTGGTCCATTACACCTGTTAACGGATCGCTAACCGGATGACTAAACAGCAATAAGATTTTCATTGAGAGTCAAAGAATGGCACGCGGTGGATTCTAAGACAAATACTTTGTAATCATCATATTATTCAGATGCGGCTACGGCTGAGATAAAAATGCCCTCAAACACGGATCTGAAAACAGCCGACTACGCAAGTTGTGTGTTAAGGAATGGACTTTTGCACGATTGTACCTCTAATGCATACATTAACTTAACTTGATCTCTTGTGTGCAACGGATCCAATGAAGCCATAGTCAAAGTAAAATAAAGGGAAATAACGCATACTTACCATTTCTAGCATTTCTAAGACCATTTCAGAATTTAGTCTGCCAGTTTGGGGTGGAACTTGAAACTCCATCATGTCTTCACTGACAGTGTTTCTTGCCGCTAAGAGCTGCCTCCTTTTATATCCAAGTCCCAGAGGCTCGAATAGCCAGTCACTGCAAAAAAAAAATCAAACCGAAATTAAGGAACAGTTTTTTACCTCATAACAGCGTGTAATAGTGCAATCAAGCGCAGAAAATTGTGGGTGTCGACGGTGTAACTACCAGACTGCGTATCTCATTTGTGGTATTTCTAAATCTCCGCTCTCATTTTATTATTTTTAAAAAAGAACAAAGCAATATCATTCAATGAAATTTTTATAGAGTTTTCTTCGCACGAAGAAGAAAAATCACGGAAGTTTTAAAGCATTGACGCTGAGTAGTTTTCCAATTAAAAAAGAAAGGCAGACAGGAAGTCTGCAGTGTCGAAAAGCGAGACACGTGGTCTGGCAGTTTCACCATTGATATGTAAATTCGAGAACCGAATTATGGACAACGGGTGAATTGGCCGCTTGACTGGAAAAAATCTTCCGTGGGTGAATCCGCGCTTTTATTTCGAGCAAAAAAGATCTGACGAAAAAGTAAAATTAATGTTAAATACAATTTTTAACCTTATATCCAGTTAGAATGGGCTTTGTAAAAGTGGGATGTTTATTTATACCTGGATGGTGGAAACTGACTCGTTGATGCTTCACCTTGCAACCAGTCCGTTTGACCCTGTAGACAACAGAAAATGACAGCACATGAGCATTTGCTAACTACACGGGAACATGTCCATTTCCAGAGGAGCCTCAAATTTATTATAGGCATAAATATTCCAGATCTCATTCGGAGATGGCATTTACCGGTAGGTTTGCTGCCTATTCAGCGAATTTGAAGGCGATTCATTGGTGGTCAAAATCGGCCGATTTGTTTCCACAAGATTGCTGAGCGGGATAAATATGTGGTTTTCGGATAGGTGACTATTCGCACGCTCCGGTAAGTTTGTTGCCCTTACACTCAAATTGAAGGCGAATTTCAAGAGGATGCCTTTCGGATGTCATTTACCGACAAAACCACAAATCATTTACTGCTTTAGTTAGTGCGTTCAGCGGGGTAACTATACGTTTTTCGAATAGCTGAATATCGACGATGAAACTACCAAACCACGTATCTCGTTAGCGGTGTTTAAAAATCTACGCTCACATTTTATTTTTTTGAAGTAGACCAAATCAACATCATTCCATGAAATTTTCACAGAATTTTCTCCGCTTGAAGAGAAAAAATCACAGAAATTTTCAAGACTGGACGTTAAGTAGTTTTTCATTTAAAAAATAAAGTATGACAGGAAGTCTGCGACGTCGCAAATCGAGATACGTGGTTTGGTAGTTTCACCGTCGATATTTGTACTCCCCGGTAGATTTCGAGGGCAACTTTAAGCGAACGATATTAATCGATATATTTAAATGGCAAATAGCAAATCGAAATTTCCGCTCGCTTAAAAACCATTATCAATATAAATTATATTATACATATACAGTCCAACCGACCATTAAAAAAAACTCAGACGCGAGGCGAAAAATAGAGCATGGGTTCAAAAACATTTTGACGGTGTTAGTCGGCAATTGCATAACTCATTTGTGGTGTCTGAAAATCTCCGCCTCTGTGTTATTATTTTAAAGGAGAACATATTGGCATCATTCCTTGAAGTTTTTGCAGAATTTTCTCCACACAGAGAAGAGAAATCACTGTAGTTTTAAAAAATTGCCGTTGAGTAGTTTTTTTAAAAAATAAAGTATGACAGGAAGTCTGCGACGTCGCAAACCGAGTTATGTGATTGCCGACTTACACCGTCGATTTCCTTCCTCTCATGAAACAAAGCACTCCTAGACTTGTCTAAAGAAAATTAGCACACAGGAAAATTCTTTCGTCAAAAAGTTCACCGAAATTAGCTTAATGTTCAATTTGACTAGAGTAGACTTCGGGTTTGGTGAGCGAAAAATGTGAAATGGCCCACGCAAAAAAACGCTACTTCTCATATGAATTGAATTTGGGATGTTCCAACCGTATTCCATCGTATTCTGCATACAATTACGATAAGAGAACGTGTGGTGTGGTGCCTCATTTGGTACCGGTCTAAGGGTCCAATCTTTGTTGATAGTTGTTCATTCAAAGGCCTTAAACAACATTGGTTGCTAAACGGGGTAACAAACACCAATAATTTCGCGATTTCAGTGAAATTCGCGGTAAAACAAGGAAATAAAATCACATTTTCAGTCCTTTTCATTCCAAATTTTATTTTTATGTCCGCCATTTATGGATCTAGGATAACCCAATGAAAGCTGCGAATGGATGCGTCGATCAGGAGGGAGGGGGAGGGGAAAGGACGAGGAAAGAAAATGACGGGTAAAGAAGGGAATAAAAATTTCCTGGCAAAGCACATCAAGTTTGCACTTTGTTTAATCTTTTGAGATAGAGAATTTCGTTAAAAATGCATTTTTACCTGGGAAAGATTGACGGGCTGCGAGAGACTCCTCCTGGGAATTTTGGTGAGCGGAGACTGATAGTCATGAGGGGTTAGGAATGTCCATGGGTCGTGGATAGGGTCACTGGCACTTGCGCTTGCCTCTCCACTCGGGTCTCCCGTTTGCGAACTCCTGAAAAATAATTCAAAAAAAAAAGTTCGAGAATTAAATTAAATGTTGGAATGATGCGTTATCCTATTAGCATTCGCTGTCAAAAAAGGTTTAGAAAATCATAAAATACAAAAAGAGCTCTCATAAATTTTTTTTCACAAAACTTTCAAATAACTTAACTGAAGACATTTTTTTAGATATTATTTTGACCTAATGTGTCGTTTCTTGTCGACAGTTTTTTTTTTTGTTTTTTTTTGTTTAAGTTAAATCCGTGTGTATTTAACTGACGTTCAGTTAAATCCGCACGATTTAACTAAAAAATAACCAAATTTTGCCGACAAGAAACGACGCTTTAAGTCAAAATAACACCTCAAGAACTTTTTTTCAAAGTCCACTTGGTTTTATTTCTACTTTTTTTCCGGTCTTCAGAGGAGCCAGAAAGTGTGGTTCCAAATTGCAAAATGCAGTCCTTTCAGAAGCATCTATCTGCATAGGCGAAACAAATGGCACACATGATGTTTCTAAAATAAGCCAGAGTTTGAAGTTCTTGATTGCAAAATGTCGTTCAAGTGGCCAAGGGACTTGATAAAACTATGTATTGTGTTCCCAAGAGAGTGGCTACCGATTACAAACCTGCTGGGCTCCGTGGAGAAGAAATGAGATTCATTTTGAGGAACACTTAAGCTTCGTCTCACGCTTGTTGTTCTAGGTTTCGCCTCCGACCAAGACTGCTGAAACAAAAATAAGAATTTTCCTTCACTACTGAGGCATTAACAGACAGTTAATGACCGAAAGTAGTAGATAAAATACAGTGGCGTGGCGTGCTTTGCGATATCGTCACCTTCCAGGCAAAGTATCACAAGCGCCATGCAACGTTTAAAAATTTCCGCCGCCATTTTATTTCTTTACTGAGAAATTGATGGTTGAATCTGTTTGGAAATTTCACTAAATTTTATCGGCAGCACAAAGAAAATTCAGTGAAATTTTCGGACAGCTTCGTTGAACAATTTCTCTGTAAAAAAATAAAATGGCGGCGGAAATTTTTAAACGTCGCATGGTGCTTGTGATACTTTGCCTGGAAGGTGACGATATATCGATTGATCTGCCATTAAACCAATGAATAAGTATCGATAAACAGAGTGTCCGCAACAAACATCTTAATAATCGATTCTATACCACAGATTGAAATGGGGAAATATCAATAATCGATCACTCAAGGAACGTAACCCCATCCCAAGGTTGCAAAACTGACTCGAAAAGTTCAATTTTTTACAAGAATATGACTGTCCGATTTCTGTCCTAAATTCTGCTGATTTTCGTATCAAATCGTAGACAAATTCGAAAAACTTTCGGTTCAGCAATAGTATCCGACAGTTTCTCAGTAAAATTATAATTTTTGTGTGACAATGGAGTTGTGTTCTTTCGTCGGAGCGACGATGAACTAGACAGGGTTTCATACAAAGCATTCCCGAACTCGTTTCTCCACTAAAATTTTACGGAAATTACATGGTGGACTCGTTTAAAATTTCTCTATACAACATTACATTGAATATTGAGTGCATTGTGTTTTTCGTGAGAATTATTATTTAATCTCTCGGTTCGGAAACGAACCGTCTTGGAAAAGTGATTTTTTTCAAGAAATGATAAAAACTGTGTAACAGCCAGAAAATGAGTGTGGTTCTATGCAGACAAATGAACTTCGTAAAAACCCCAAGTTCGGTCTTTTGTGAACTGAGAGATTCAATCGAAAGACAGTTTAAAGCAAATAAACTGGTGGTTGTAGTTCTGAGACAAAATACAAGGCTTTCCGTTTACCTCTCTAAATTCCGTGGAGGAATGGGTATTTTGCTGCCGCAGCAAACTTAAAATCAGTCTTATATCACGAGCCATAGTTTGTTCCAAACTTTCCAGTTTACTGAAAAAGAGAAAAGATCATGAATACAAATTAGTTGTCATCTTTCAGGATCATCTAGGTGTTCATGATTTTGAATTTTACAGACAGCGCTTTTGATGGATTAAGCGCATCCCACCTACTTCTAACAAAAAGTTGTGAAGCCAGTAACCACAACACTTTCTCTACGATACAGGCAATCACAAATGGGTAACGTGAAGAAGAACATCTTTAAATAATTTTTTTAAATCGATTCATTCGCACGTTATTTTTCTCGAATGTAGCAGAGAGGGCATCTAATTCTATCTAATTCGGCTGAAACATGCTAATTTGGTGAGTTGTTTTCACTTATCAATTCTTCTCCACGCATAAAAAAGAGCAATATTATGTCGAAGGGGGAGACGATAGTCAGTTTAATGGTTTTAGAATGGCTGAAGAGTGAAACTTAATCCATGAGAAAAAGCAAGTCGACGGTAAAACTATGAAACCATGGATCTTGATTGCGGTGCTTGAAAGTTTCCATTCATATTTTATTTTTTCAAGGGAACTCTACTCGATATTCTCGCCTGGAATTTTTAGGAAACATGGTTGAAAGAACGAAAAAGAAATCAAACAAAATTTAATTTAAAAAGATGATCAGATCTCTCCTAGGAAAATAAACTTGACAGGAAATTTGCAACATCGAAAACCGAGAGAGATGGCCTGGTACTTTCACCATCGAGAGGCAAATTGATCGCACTGTCTCTTCAAAACTCTGACGTTGCCAAATTTCTGTTGATAAAAGCAAATTTTCATTATTATTAAGAATACTTCTCACGGGAATGTATTCACAATTCGGTCTGAAAAGTTAAAAAATTTCACGAGAAAACATCCGTAACTTCTCTCAGAAATAAATACGTTTTTTTATCAACAGACATGTGGCAACGTCAAAATGCTCATACGGCGTTTTTCCTTAGCACGATATCATACTTTCTGTTTGCTCAAGTACTTGATTACTTCCGATTCCTAACTCTGGGCGCTATTCCAGCTTGACGCGCCTTCATCTTTGAAGATACTCCACGTCTCACCGCAGAGTTGGTTTAGTTGCTTGACCGAGCCTAACCTAACTCTTCTTGGTACTTTCCATTATTTAACTCAGTTAAACGACTGCCTCCACATTTGAAATATACTTCACGCTCTGCCGTGGAGTTGTTTTAGTTCCTTGAGGCAACCAAACCGATTTCTTGTCAGACTTTTTCGTACAGCCCTATTTAAGGATTGTTTGAAGAGCTGTGGGCTTACCTGGTGAGTTTGTCGATCTTGAGATTAACATCGGCGGGGGCGGGGGCGGGGGGTTGCCGAGCACCGCAGCTTGCGCACGTTGGGAGGCCGCTAGTCGAGGGCACGAAAGCGGCGGATATCACAGATTGGCATCCTGCAACTGAATACCTCACAACTTAGAACAATTTACAAAGACCTACTCTACAAATAGGCCAACGAAAAACGAGTTCCAAGTTGCGTATTTCGAGCTCCCATTTAAAGGCGCGACGTCGGGTCATCCAAGATGGCAATGGGTCCGGCTTCAGGCACACTTTTGACCTCGCGTTCCATCTGGCGTGATCCACAGTATGTGCACGTGTACTGATAACGAAGGAAGTAAACATGAACTCACCGGAATCTTCCAATTTTCACGGATATCATGACTATTTTGACGTTAGTGATAACCCTGCCGAAGACAATTAGTCAAATCAGGCATTTTATCTAATGCCTAGGTCGGTAGTCAAATTTTGACAGTTTACGGAATTTTGTAAAATTATGCCGAGGAGTTTACGGGTTTTCAATATTTTGGGCGCTTCAAATCCACGAGCTCTCCTTGTACTTCCTTTTTACATGCTTTTGGTACATTTAAATGTTACAATTTTAAAAATTCTATTTTTTATGACGTGGTGAAAATTTCATGAAAAATGTGCATTAGGATCTTAAAATCGCTTAAAATACTTTTGTATGCTGCATATTTTTGAAGAGAATTCTTTCTTACGGGAGCAACGAATTATTTTCTTTAAAATTAGGGTAAAAAATCATAAGTTAAATCTAAGTAAGAATATTTGACTATTTGCCTAGGCATTTGAAAAAATGCCTGATTTGACTGTTTGCCCTTGACGTACCTAACAATGATGTTGATGAAAATTAAAAGATTCCGATGAGTTAGTGTTCACTCCTCCCGTTATTAATGCACGCCCAAAGCCCATAGATCGTGCCAGAGGGAACGCGAGGTCAAAAGTGTGGCCAAAGTTGGACCGATATGCGCGGCCGCCACTTGGAATACCCGGCGTAGCGCGTTCAAATAGGAGTTCAAAATACGCAACTTCAAACTCGTTTTTCGCAGATTAATATTGTTTAAAAAATCGGGGAATATTCCAGTTAACTACGGGCATTGTCTCCTCCCTTTCAAAAATCCAAGAATTAGTAATTACTGAAGAGGCTCATTGCATGACAGATTACCTCAAGTAACACGCGGACGCTTTACATTCTTTCACCCGCGTTTAAGTCTCTCAGGATGTGCGCTTATACAGGGAAACAGATGGGTGAAGTAAACCATTTTGGGTAGAACCTTCCAACAATGAGGATTGCGGTATTCATATCTTATTCTTTACGGCAATCTATCGGTATTTCTGTATTCTAATACGGTATTCATACATGTAACGATTCACCGAAATGTTCAGAAAAATCCGCACGACCGTTTTCATGTAAAAACTAAATGGACCACTAGACAAGGTACGAATTTCAGCGTTCTGATACATGTTTCTTCACCAAAATTTCACATAGAACACGATGCGCACAACAAATATTACCAAAAGCAACTCCTTACGAAGATATTTAATGATTCTTGATGCGTGAATTCAAACTACCCGCTCATTAAAACTCAATGCTATACGTGATTCACATCGCGCGCTAAACGTTATCATGATAGTCTTTGCAACATAAATATCTGGCAACCTCAATCTTGACGCTTTGGCTCAGTTATTGCAAATTGCTTATAGTTTGAACAACACATGGTGGGAAATGAACATTGCTCGATAGAGAAGATTGCCGAAACCGTTGTAGTGCGCGATTTGACTCGCGTAGAGCTTTGAGTTTCTTGTGAGCGGGCCTTTCAAATTCCTCGTAACCAATGTGAAATAAAAATGTTAATATCTTCCTTAGGAGTTTATTTCAGTTATTTTCGTTGCGCGAATTGTATTTCACGTGAAATTCTGGTTAGGAAATATGTATTAGAATGCTTAAAATCGTACCTTGTCTAGTGGTCCATTGCCCAATTAAACTTGGAAATGGCTGATGCGGCTTGGTTACTTTCTGCTAACGCGGCTTCGTTTATCTCTGACAATAGCTTTATTGAGAGGCTCTAATTTTGGCAGGAAGATTTACCAGCAGATGAGGAGAGTGGTGCTTGGCGAAGGGAATGTGTAGAGCTTTGAGACTGGGGGGTCATGAACAAGGATGAGGCAGTGGTGACGTTGTTTTTGCTGGGCATGTCCTCTGGGTTCAGCGGTAGAATATCCTCCCTCGACAATGGCTGCCCATCGAAGCTGCCCATATCCGAATGCAGCAGCCCCGACTCTGAAACTGATAATCCACAAAAACCCAATCAGCTCATGGCCGCACCAGCGCTTGTTCGAGAATCATTCACTCTCCCTCTAATTTTATCGTACATGATTGGATTTAGAGTAAATTAAAGAGAAAAAATATAGATGACGAACGGTTCACTTGCACATTAATTTTGTTTTATTTGTATTCCATTTCTCATTTTTTTTTTTCATCAACGCAGTACATTGGTTTTAAAACAATGTGTCTGTTGCACGCAATAGATACGGGCAACTGAATACACATGCGAAGGGTGAATTCGCTCAAAATTGGACGTATTTCTGTCAAACGGAACTAAGCGCCAATTTGAGTTCCTTTTGAGGAATTTAGAATGCCGGATAGCGCGTTCTGTCAAACGGAACTAAGCGCCATGGAAAAGCATTGCGAGTATAGGACGGAATGAGCCCGACGCCCGGTTCCGCCCCCAATCCAAGCCCCCCTCTACCTTCCTCCACATCTGGCGCTTAGTTCCGTTTGACAGAAATACGTCCAATTCACGTTGAGCACATTGAAAAAGTGTGGAATCCCCCCTTTAGCGGGCAATTTGCGAAGTTTGTGACACAATTTTTCAAATTTACCTCGTATGCGGGCAGTTTTTCTTGGTGGCCGGCAGTCTGCTTTGCCCGCAGAGAGACCTCACCTAGGTAAACAAACAATCTCACGAACTATTTTGAACTCACCTTGCGTAAGATTTCAATTGATTCAAAGCTTTTGTCTTTGCAAAATAAATAAAGAAAAAGTAAAGCAACGCTTGAAAACGGTTGAAATCAGACAAAAGAAAAAGTTGGTGAAATCGTCTTTTCACTCAGGCTAATTTTTCTCAACCTCTGCCTAACAAATCTGGTCGGCGCTGACTGCGAAAAACTTCCTGCAGACGCGGGAAACTTGAAGAAAAGTGTTACAAACTACGCAGATTGCGCGTTTAGGAATAAATTTCAGACTTTTTTGACTTTCCCTACGTGATTTTCGTGTGATTTTACCCGTAAAAAGTCTATCTATTCGACTGTATCTCTTCTGTGCAATAGACTTATTTTACCGGAACGGTTTCGGGCACGTAGCCCATCGTGAGCGAAAAACGTGATTGATTGGGATCCATCGGCGTTTATCGCTAAAGATGGGCTACGTCCCCAAAACATATCCGGAAAAATCCTTTTAAATGAATGAGCGAGAGAGTCGTTGATCATTTATATTTTTTCTAGCAGTTATGGATGACGGTTTTTACGAATGAGTATCCAAACATGTTCGTAAGGGGCTATTTAAGATGGTTGCGGTGGGGAACCAATGAGGACATCTCATACTTTATATTCCGTACGATTTCACGATAGCATGTATTTTTCCCATCAATGCACAACATGTGCTTTCCTGTCCAGACTTGTGTCACGAAAGTCAGGATACTGTCATTGACTGAACCCAGGCTTATGAGTTTTCTGGTGCTTGCTTTAGGTATAAAAATGGATGATAAATTCATGCAATTAGAAGTTTAGTCTTGTCATTTTCACATGCAAAAAAACTCAAAAACGCAAGGAGGGTTGGGGCTTGGAGGATCGCACCAAAGCTTTTAATTTCGTTAACTTGAAAGGGCACTAGAGGGTGGTATTCCCAGGTTCATCTGGATCAAAGCATGGAAGTGTAGATAAGCAGGAAGGAGCATTTTATACTATACACTATCGATTATCTCACTGGAAAATGCTGTTAGTTATACTTCGATGCTAAGCAGAAAAGGGACGCTAATAAATGCATAACGTTCCAAGGAACAAGTATTACGTTACGGTTCGTTACGAAAGGACAGGAAGACCAATTTGCGATACGGGAATCAATTTTTTATTCACGGTGATATAAAAAACGGGACCTCAATTGCGGTGTTTTAAAATTTCCATACCATCTTTAATTTTTAAAAAATATATTCTGGCCACTATTACGGGAAACTTCTGAAAATATTCTGGCGTGGACGAGGCTAATGCCCTCAAATTATTTTCAATAACTGTGATCAGTTATCATTAAAAAAGTAAAATAAAACAGGTAATCTGAGACGTCGCGGCAATCTCACCATCAATTTTGACTACGATATTTTTCCATAAATAAATCTCATTTCTTTAGAACTTTAGAACTTTTTCCTTGGAGTTAACCATTTGGGCTTTCACTCACTAGTAGGGCACAGGATTCATATTTTGCCCAATTTTTTAGGGAGTTTATGTGACAGATCAAACTCTCAATTTGATTAAAACCAGACTCTGGGACGATTTATTGAGCACATATCCTTCGAATTCAGCTCAGAAGCAGATGTAAAGCTGCTCTCGGGTAATTTCGACCTCGGTTTATACAAATAAAGCATTCAGCCAGCGATTGAAAGTTAAATTTTAAGATAAGCCGACAAAATATCGGTGTTAGACTTCAAATAAGGCCTGAAGTAAATTTTACACATTTAGGAACGAAAATAGTCGCTACGATGAGCTGTTGCAAGACACGTCATCTTTACAAATACTAGTAGCAGCTTAAACACTGAGTAATAAAAAATCTTTAAGAAGATTTTTTGCACATTTATAGTGACATTTAGGCAGGAGGTAATTTAAGTTAGGCAGTATGCACTTGGAGCGCTCATAACTCACTTCTCAACGGAAGCCGGGATTGTTCAAAGGGTCTATAGTGTTCTACGTGAAATTTTGATGAGATAACACAAAAAAGCAGCAGTTTTAATGAAACTGCAAAGCTTTCAGCCCACATAAATGAAGGTTGCAGGCAAGGAAACAGATCTTCAGTTCACTTAACCGAAATTTGTTTTTGTCATACTATAATGGAATCGGTTTCTGTTAGACGGGCGTAAGTCCAAAAACTCATGAGCCTTAGCGATTGTTGATCACGCAGAACGCTAGGGCTCACGAGTTTTTGGACTTACGCCCGTCAAACAGAAACCGATTCAATTCTAACTCTTCACGAGACTACGGTTACCTGAATCGAAGTTCGGTCCCTACAACTGGAAACTTCGAGTATCTGGACCGAAAAATTTAGCGTTCCATATGCACTGAAGTTCGTATATTGTATTCGAAGTTTTTTTCTCCGTCAAAAAGTTTTACAGTGTTTGATTTCCAACAATGCTTTGTGGTTCATTAGTTTTACGATCCAGAGAGAGATATACAGTTGCTATTTGCTTGTCTCTTATTTTTATTTTTGTGTAATTTATTCCTTTTTTTATGCGGTGATCACTTACTAGGAATTTGATGATCGAGAAGTGGCTGGGTCTCTTTCGAGGTATCGACACTCGTCGAATCAGGCCGATGTCTAACGTTGTTTGAACTGGAAGAGAGCTTCAGTAGAGACTCTAGTCCTGAAAAAGGGTACCAGGTCGGTTTTGGGCTAAAAATTACGCATACGCTAAACAAGGTGACAACAGTAATGGCGTCGAAATCAGCGTCCTCAAATGCTGTGGTTTTTCGACAGTTTTTGAGGCTTCGCTTCAACGCTAATTTCGAACGGTAGCACAGGCCTACTTGTATCGAAACTTTCAAAAATACTCTTTAACTTTGAGTTATAATGGGAGTTTTCATAGATTTACTGGAAGGAAAATACTCGTACTTACAATTAATGCAGTATAAAGGGCCGTAGAGCCAAAAATATATGTAGTTAGAGGGAAGTATAAGCGAGGCTTTGAAGTATTTCTAGGGACTTTGCTACAGTTTGTGAAGCGTTGGATTCCTACTTTCGACAGTTGGTCAGGGAGTAGGTAAGTCACTCTAATTTTCTCAAAAATAATAAGAAAAGCTTTATTTTGCTTCACTAGGGATCCAGTACGGTAAATTCACGAAAAAAAAAAGAGTGAGGGGTTATCTTCTAAAGTTGTGGTGATACTCCAATTAGTTGGTCGATATGGGCAGCTGCAATTAATTAAGGTAGTATCACAACTCAAGTTGATGTTGTACCGCAACATTTGGGTTAGTAACCTAATGTATTGGGATTCCACCATAATTGATTGGAAATATCCATATCATCCAACGATCTCGTGCTCTTTTTCCCGTGTTTTACGGCAAGTTTGGTGAATTTTACCGTAAGTCTACTTGATTTTTGGCCCAGTATACTATACAGTGAAGATCATGTGAAATTTAGTAGTATTTATTGAATTTCTCAAAGTTTTCTCGCTCAAAGAATTTTCGTGGGAAAAAAATGGGGCTATTTATTCTCTGCACGATCCCTATACATGGGAAAAGAAATTAATAAATACAATTTTGAAGCGTTGGGTGTAGGTAGGTCTGTACAGATATCAGCCGCTCAATTTTCCCTCAGAGGCAACGTTCGTTCATTGATCAAAATTAAGATGTTCAATCAAACCGATTCCCTCATGATTAAAAGAGTGCATTCAATTTATATCTGATGAAAAGCTTCATGTGAACTTTCCTTTCCTTTTTATTTCTTTTTATTCGTAGCCTGAAAAAGGCGGGCTCTGTTTTTGTAACATTTAAAGTGAATAAACTAATTTAAATAGAAAGTATATCCAATCAAGTCTCCGCGTTTTTCCTGAAAGGGGATTTTCAAAGGCGAATAATCGATGGTCAAGCGTGTTGGAAAAGGGTAAATCCAATCTTCGCAAAATGTTAGTCATGTCACATTCTTTTGAGGCCAGAAATTGAAGTTCTCTGGTAGGAAAAAAATTGAGCGACGTACGACTCTCAACTTCGATTTATTGATGGATAATTAATTTTGAGGTGTGATAAGTAAAAGGGATTACCAAACTTGTAACGGGATTAAATCAATAGTTTATTAGTTTTCAAACATGATAGAACAGGGAATAACTTTTGAGCCTCTTCGTTCGATAGCCATGTTCATGAACTGAGTCTTTCGATTGAAACGACCGGTTTCAATCAAACTGAAACGCGAGGGTTTATAATATCTGTTTTGTCACTTTGATACTTGTTTCCGAAAAATTGAAACATTGCGTGCTCATTTTGACATTTGTCAGAACCGCTCTAGACAAATTTCGCTTTGTCTAAACACATTGCGATTGATCTGGGATTTTTTTGATCAAGTCAAATTTATTGCTGCTCTTATTGATGACATTCGTGCGTTCATGGTGTTAAGAAACAATTTAGAAAATACCTGCATCCGAAAATTTCTAATCCATTAGTTCTAGGTAAGTAATGCATGCATTTGTACAGAAAATGACCGTGTATTTGATGCAGAATAATGAATGACCCTCATTGAAGACGACAGTATGGACAATAGCAATCAGGAAAACGAAGCGCTCAAAAGTTCTGATTTAATTGGGAGTCATTAAACGTCAAGGATCTCTCATCATGAGATTTCAAAAACATAACGACGGTGAAAGTCGGCAATCACATAACTCAGTTTGCAACGTCGCAGACTTCCTGTCATACTTTATTTTTTAAATGGAAAACTACTCAACGGCAATTCTTTAAAACTGTCATGATTTTTCTTCTTAATGCGAAGAAAATTCTGCAAAAACTTCAAGAAATAATATCAATTTGTTCTCCTTTAAAAAAATGACGTAGAGGCGGAGATTTTCAGACACCGCAAACGAGTTATGTGATTGCCGACTTTCACCGTCTATAAGCTGGTCTCTACGTTGCTTGCAGAGCTTCAACTAATGCAACCGAACACTTTCCATTACGACAAGAAATGTTAGTTGTCACAGATACTATTTTGATAGGCGTAATGGGTCGGTTGCGCTGATCACAGAATCATCGTGTTTTGTCTCTTGATTCTTGTAGAGTAGCTAAAAATAATAAGATCTGTGTGCGAACTGCAACTTTGTACGTTCATTATTAACCGAGATATCGCCCTTTGAAAAGTCGGGTATATAACGTCATCCACCGCAATAGTGACACCCTTGGTTTCATCCGAGTTTCACGTTAAGTAACCAGCGGGTCGATTATTGAAATTGATAGACAAAGCTATAGACAAAGAAGACAAAAGGGATTTGGAGGGATCCTATTGGTGGAAGCGGGTGGTTGCAATGGACAAAGGACGTGGGTGATAGACTAACTAACGGCAACCCACGAGAGACCCGCTAATTAGTCCATCATTTTCTCCTTCAGTCTATAAGAGCCACCCGTTTCCACCTGTAGGATCGCTTCGCACTCTCTATGTCATCTTTGTTTATCGCTTTGTCTATCAATTTCAATAATCAGCCCGCTGTGCTAATGTGTGTCTCCCTGACTGATAAAACCAAGGTAGAAGAAAACAAAGGTGACGCTACCTTTCAAAATAACGAAAAATTAAAATCTTGGCTGATCCTAATTCCGATCGATATCACAATTTAAAATTTTCAAAGTAAATGTAAGTTTTCTACTGATTTTGATCCGCTCTTTTATTTATTTATCCATTGAATCGGTGTTGATCGATTCACGTTTTTAATTTCGTTCGATTTACGTCGACCGAAACATATCCTCTCGTTACATGCAGACAACCTATCATACTCTTTTTTTTTTTAACTGAACAATTCGCCTTCTGCTACGTCTACAGCAATTGCTGTTACGAATATGTTGTGCGAGCCGATTTCAGCGCATTACATACTTGACTCTCTGAAGGCGTTTTATGTGAGCTATAGTAGAGCACCCTGTTGGAGAACCACAGAAGCGAGATTGAATGAATCGCTCAATCCTTACCTCGTTCGTTCTCCGACGGATTGCGCTACTATGGCTCACATAAAACGCCTTCAGAGAGTCGAGTATGTAATGAGGTAAAATCAGCACGCACAACATATTAAGAACAACAATTGCTGCGGATGCAATTGAAGGCGAATGTTTCAGTTAAAAAAAAGAGTATGATAAGTTGTCTGCATGTAACGAGAGGGTATGTATTCGATTGACATGAATGGAACGAAAAATAAAAACGTGAACCGATCCACACCGATCCAATGGACAAATAAATAAAAAAGCCGGTCCAAATTAGTAGAAAACTTGCATTTAGTTTGAAAATTTCAAATTGCGATATCTCGAAATCAGGATTATCCAAGGTTTTGATTTTTCGCGATTTTGATTCCACACGTATCATAGACTCACCCCTTGCAAACCGTTTTTAGGTACATTTTTGTCGACTTTTTTTTTGCTGCAAGACCACTGTGCCGAAGGGGGACATCTCGATGAAAAAAGAACGTAGAAAGTTGCTGTTTGGACAGATCTGATTATTTTTAGCTAATCTACGAGAATTAAGCATCAAAACACGATTCGGTGACCCATTAATCAAATCTTCGTAGAAAAAAAGCATGCTAACATAACGAGAAACTGACTAGTAAACCAGTTTTTCTGTTGTAATGAATGAGACTTTTCTTAATAAAATGCGACTCTCGTTTTCCGACTTCCACCATTTGTATTGGAAAAATACTAATTCAGATAGGTCCATTTCGTTTAATGACATCCAATCAGGAGGAGGAGATGGTTGAAATCAACACTATAGATTCTAGTCAAGGGGCTAGGGGCCAAGAATGCACCCGGAGAGATCTATGAAGCGAGAGTTAGAAGTCGAGAAGAGAGATAAGACTAAATCTAGGCTAGAATAGACTTACCCGTGTGGCTAGGGGCCTCCTCGTCGGTACAACTATGTTTCGAGGAGATTCCATGCAATCGTATATCAGTCAGGCTACGTTTCAACTGGTTCAGCATGCCTGCTCAACACACCCGATCCGTCAACGATATTAAATCTTAATTCTCAACCCGGATCAATTCATACAAGCTCATCTTCGGTATCAGAGATGTTATATTTTAAAGACCCATACTAGCAATCTAAGCTATGTAAAAATTAAGTTTGGAAGTCAACGCTATTTTTCGCTGAATGGTGGTTGATGAGCAAAAACTCCAATAAAATTTGCATGCGAGCTGATTATTGACATTTCTAGATAAAGCGAGACAAAGAGGACAAGGAGAAAACGGAGCGATCCTATTGGTTTAAGCAGGTGCTTCGGCTACGCTGATTCGCCCCACAGAGCGTGGCGCCACACTACAACTCCGACGAAAAATCCTAGATTGTCCCCACAGAGTGTGGCCCCACACAAGAGAATTTCTTCAAAGTCCGAAATGAAAAAATGCTGTTGTGTGGGGCCACACTCTGTGGGGACAATCTCGGATTTTTCGTCGGAGTTGTATTGAGGCGCCACACTCAGTGAAAGGTAAATGATAGACAAACTATGAGTGGGCAGCCCACAAGAGACCCTTAGTCTATAGGAACCACCCATTTCAACCAATAAGATAGTTCCTCACTCACTATGACTTCTTTGTCTATCGCTTTGTCCCTCAATTTCAATAATCTGCCCGCAGATGGATTTATAGCTCCAAAACGCATCCCATGGATAAAACCAATGTCCAGGTGAGTACGCGGAAAATGTTTAAAATTGTTAATTAGTTTTATTTATTGACTTGTATAAATCCCGGGTGAAGTTTTTCATAAAGGATTTCGTGCAAAGTAGGCTCACTGAGAAGAAAGTATCATGATCCCAACTGTACTGCTAGCTGATTTTGGCGCCAGGTATATGGCTAGTACTAGCCAAAGATATGGTTGATCCTACCGCACTTTTGGCAGACTCAACCGTGCCTCTGACTGGTGCAACCACTCTTACATCTAGTGCCAAAACCAGCTAAGGTATACTTGGGATTGTGATACATCACTGAAAAAAAAAAATTAGATTTTACCACACTCTGACACGGTGATCTGAGTATGGTAATTAACAGCAAATTGTATGATAGCATTTACCATATTGTAGTAAAAAATCATCTGAGTTCTGGTGAATACTTCTATAATTCTGGTCATTTTCAATATATACATGTAGTATCACCGTGTAAGAAATCAAGTAGACTTATAGTAGCCGTAACCATTTTTTTTCAGTGATTTTTTCATGCTGGGATTGCTAAAAGAATTGCGAAACTCTTAGGTCATTAGTCATCATTAGGCTAATAATTGTTGACTTCCGAAAGAAATTATTACACTTTGGGTGAGTTGGCAATCAGTTTGGGGTCTCTAAAATATATACAGTCTCTGTTCGGTAACGTTTATCAACCGCAGAGGAAGAGTTTCGAAACGATGCTCAAAAGAAATTGCACTGTTTCTTAGTCATAAAAGCTGTGAGGTCTAAAATCATAGGTTGTGGGCACCATGCTTCCAAATTCAAAGAGAAAAAATCAGGAAACCGAGCGTTACCGAAGAAAATGAATTTTTTTCCAATAAAAATAACGTATCAACATCGGACGCTTTCATACGAAAAGAGACTCTACTTTGACATAGAAAAAATCGATAGAGATAATATTTTCTGAATTTTTTAATTATCGAGTCCTTTAATAAAGAATTCTAGCCCGGGGAAATTCTTCGGAATATGTTATTAAAAACCACGTTTAAATGAGAGGAGGTTTTCTGTAAAATTAATTTTCTGCAAGGTCTCATATTTTACAAAGCAGAGAGCGTGAGGTTAATTTTAGTTGGTACTACGTGAATGTCGATGATTTCATAACAGAAATTTTTAAATTATCTTTTTCTGCAGCATTACGCTTTTCGCGTAAGGACGTTAAGTTCAAATGCGAGCGGTTGAGAATAAAAACCAAGCGGCGCTTTTTCTTAATAACTTTCGCTTTGCATCATTCAAATCTCCGAAGGAACGAACCTTTACGCTCTTCTGCTCAGTGAACTCATTTGATCACATTATAAATATATGTACATAAGGGATTACGATATTCACGACCATTACCTGTTTAAAGGGAGCTATAGCAAGATCTAGAGAAGGCTTTAAGAAAAGAAATATTGGATTAAAAAGTGTGTTTCAGCCGAACAGGGTCAAAATCTGAAAGACATGGGGTTCTTTCCGTGCGAAAGCGTCCAAAACAGGAGCAAGACAAAGAGGAAAATATGGAAATCAAAGGCTAAATTTTGAATGCTCAGAACTAGAGTCCGCATTGCATTATCTTTCTCACATGCTAAAATCATGTACTTAGCATTCAATTCAAAAGCAAAATTATGTAGGATTCATTCAGTATTGTTTTTGGGTAGCTGGGGGATTTAAAAGCAGAAAATCTGAGGCAGGAAATTTATGTGCAAAGTCACGCTTTCGGTATGGCAAGTTCAATAATATTTACTTTCTCGCTTTCCTTGCGAGTATAGGAAGTAGTTTTTTTCTTAATCGTAATAGCATGTGTCTGAAAGCTATTTAACGTTTGCATCGTTGCAAAAAATAAAATATAAAGTATAGATACATATTTAAAAATATAAAAGGAACATCATCTGTCGGTAAATTTGTGCTACTTATTTCTTGCAACTAACATGCTTTTTCTAGCGTCCACTTCATGATCATACTTAGATTTTCCTAACAGTCCGCAGAAAATTCTAGAAACGTAAAATTGAATAGGTCGCGAAAAGAGATAATAATGAGTTTAGAAGTCTATAGTGTTTCTAGTTATCTAGAAATTTAAGAGAGCTTTAATCTAGAGATTTTCAGCTTAACCCACTGTCTTATTATTTATCTATTGTATATTTCCCGGAAACTTCAGGCAATAACGCAGCGATTCGATTGGTCTGAGTACATTTTGCCAGTCATGCCTATGTGAGATCAGTAATGATATTGCCTCTCATACGTATAGCAACCCTTCAAATGCTGTCCTTTTTTTCCATTCTCACCTTTGAGAGGTTTTTCGATCTCGGAATGGTGAATTTTCAATAAATCAGAGATTTTTATATTTTTGGTATACATTAGATTAGATGCTTCGATGGAAAACCTAAGAATTCTGTTGGAGTTTCATTGAATCTCGTGTCATGTTCTTAACGCGTGAATTTATTACAGATAGTTTTGATCGCTGACTGCAAGATGATCTACTGTCCACCATGCCAAGGATTAAAACGCCGTATAATAATTTGATGCTATCAATGTTATAAAATACGAGATTTTCGGAAAACTCGCATAGTATTTATTCCAATTTTTTTGGGAACTTTTTGTATGAATAAGTAAGGCCGAGTACCAGCATTACCGAAGGATAAAGTGAATAATGTGAGAAAAAACTGGCATTACCCAATGACTTTGATATAATGTTGGAATTTACATGATACCATCCGAAAAATATTCAGGTAATAATACCCCTGACAGTATGCGTGCACTGAAAAAAAAATTGTAGAATTTACCATTCCTTCTCGCTGTATTTCACACGACGTGAAGGAAAATTCTACCACTCTTCAAGTCAATTCTGCCAGAGGAATGGTTACCTGTACCAGTATACAGTAACGTTTACCCTTCTTCTGGTAGAATTGACTCTAAATTGACGCTGTGTGATAAGGAATGGTAAATTCTACCAATCTTCTGTTTCAGTGTATTATTGTGCAGAGCGGTGGTGACGCACGAACGATACAGGGCTGGTTTTCATTTTTGCCGGGGAAGAGTAGTTTTCTTGCCCATCTAATACGCTACAACTGTAAGTTCATTTCATCTGGAGGTCGATTTTTGAATGTCCTCGATCGATTGATAGCATTGCTAAAATAGAAATATATCGATGGAGGTCATTTCCTAGCGATACAACAATCAACCAGGAGGTCACTTTTTGATAAATGAATGATGAGCCCATTCCGGCCTGAGTCACTTTTCTGACCACGTAAAAGAAAATCAATGCTCGACTCCACTCTATAATTGATGAAAGCGGACTGAAGAAAAGAAAATTCAATTTTGTGCGCGGTTTCCCTTGAATATTTGATGTTGCCGAGATAGCGAAAAACTTTCACACTTCCAGCGCCCAGTAGGAAGGGTCGTCTCCTCAAGGGTCTCCCTCAGGGTGGAATGGTCCCTCAAGGGTCTCCCTCACGGAGGAATGGTCCCTCAAGGTGCATGGTATTCCGGCACTATGTAAGACGTTTCGAATTGAATGAATACAACCTGGATTTTGTGATCTTTCTTGTGATAATTTCTGAACATGACATCACGTTGTGGCGTGTCAGGTATTGTATTGGCACACTAAATTTGACTAGAGTCCCTTTATACCCAGAGTTAAGACAACTCACTTTTGGTTGGGCTGGAAGTGGCCTAAAAAAAAATCCAATTCTGATTGGTTCTCGCTCATGGAGGCCGAAACGAGTGCACCAAGATGGCGGTACCTCGAATGTGAACAAGAATAATGAAAATATTACCTAATTGTGGTTTATCAAGAGTAGGTTGTTATTTCCATCGGTCCAAAATGAAAATAGATTAAGAAATTATTCACAAACCAATCTCATTCTCTTTTTAATTGATCAATTTGTTGATGTTGTTGTTTTTGTGTGACAGACATCGCAGGATTCCTGATCCTTATCCCTCAATATCGTTCATTAGGGTGCACTCGTTTCGGCCTCCATGGCCAGCCAAGGCCGACTGCCAGTCAGCTGATAATCGAGTTGTCTTAACTCTGGGTACAAAGGGACTCTAAATTTGACTGAGACACATGAAACCATGAGACCATGGTACCGAAAGTACGTCCCGAGCGAATACCGAAAACCATTTTGCCTTTCTATTTGCGGCACCTACTTACTTAGACCGTATTTCGAAACCCATTTCAGAGTTTTTTGAGGCAATTTTTCATTTTAGATACCTGACGTGCTCCACCGGAGTTCCATGCACCAAAACTCTGAAGAAATGTTCTAAAATCCAGAAATTATCAACTGATCGATCGACTGTAGTAAATCGCACTCTAAAGTGAGATTCACGTAACTCCATTCCAAAGTTGCAAAACTGGCTTCAGACAATTCAATTTTTCACAAGGATGTACCTGCTTGATTTTCCCCCCCAAAAATTGTCTAATTTTTGTATGAGATCAGAAGAAAAATGAGGAAAGTTTACAGTCAGATATTTCCAAGATTCTCATGGAAAAATTGCTATTTGTGAAGGAAAGTTTGTCAGCATCGAAATGCAGTTACGCTCTTTCGTAGGCATGAAGGAAACGGCGTTTGAAACTTGAAGCAGATAGGAATGAAGACTTTAAAAAAACTCAGAGACAAAGAGATCTTGATTTGTAATTTGATATGATGTTTGATTCAATCTTATGCCGGAATCGCACGCTGAATTTGGTAGCTGAATATGGAAGTTGACAGTCATCGCTCAGCACCTGAAGAGTTATTTTCATCCAGATGTGTATCAAATCATTTCGAATAGTTCAGACGAATCCGACATTATCCGATGGTCGCTGAGAATCGTCACGCGACACGCGCAAAATTCAGGCATCGGGCCGATGACTTCCACATTCAAGCAAGAGTCAGCTCCCACATTCAGCGTGTGATTGCGGCATAAAGGTCTAGATACACACGGCGATTAATTGCCGTGTGTGTTTAGGCTTTCGGGGAATACTATTCTTCATTCGACTCATGCATACGTACTTCATCGGTAAACATTTGGCAAAGTTTGAACAAGATTGCAAATTTTCGGCTATCCAAATTATAAATGCTCTACCTTGGAACATTAAACGAAAACTCCGCGACGGTGAAATACAGACATTTTTCAATTTACTTCGAGATCTACTTTTAAGGAAGGCATTTTATAATTTGAACGAATTTCTAAAGTCAGCTGTTGTGTAACGTTCTATTAAACACCACCAAATGTAACAGTTGTAATTTATATTTTTAATTATTGTATAGTATTTTTTGACCTGTGCCATAGCCCTAATAATGGGGCTCACATGTACGAAAGTTATAATAAATAAATAAATAAATAAATAAATAAAGTTTGACGGCTTATACGGCGTTTTCCCTTGACATGGCGAAATCAGCTTCTGCACCCTTTTTTTGGTGTGTATGTGTATGTGTGTGGGTGTTATGTGTCTGAGAGCAGTGGAGGTTAGGAGTCGTAGAGCGCGAGGAAGTGCTGTGTATATATATATATATATATATATATATATTTAATATTATTTAACGACGATCAGCATCTAGGGCTATTTACGTCGGGGACTAGGCAATTTTAAATTTTTAAATTTAGTTTCTTGAAGAGTTTTAAAATTTCTGTTACTACCATTGGACTATTTGAACACAAAGATATATATATGTGTGTGTGTGTGTGTGTGTCTTATACGAATTTCGCTGCTTTCGTTATTCCAATGATTTCATGTAGAAGAGATTCGACGAATTTTGAAGGGAACTCGATTGCGAAAATTCGAGACTTACGGCTCTCTTGGCTATGACGGCAGTGATGAACCGTGTAATTAATTGGAAGCGCCGACTCACCTGAAATCGAATTGAAGGTCGATGAGCGGGGCTGGTGTGTGACACCTTGTTCTTTGAACTGCAGATTCATCGGCGTCACGTCCTGCCCGGCTTTCTCGGTGGTGAACTCCAAGATTCCATGGCCGCTGGATCTAGACATTTCCAAACGAAAATTACACTAGGCACTAAACACACTTACAAAAGCTCTGCTACAATCGCACAGTGTTACAGCCAAGATAGCAGACATTGGATCGGACTAAAGCATTAGATAGAATGGAGAATTTGCACGCAATTTTTTATTGCTTCATCTGAAAGTGCCTAATGAGCTGAGTTCGCAATATTTTTCATAATTTTTTTCTGACATGGGAAATTGGAGAAAAATTGATTTAAAAGTGAGAAAATGTGCCGCCTTGTGACGTCATCTGGCGGAATTTCCCATTTAAACACATGTATTTTAGCAGAATCGGTTATTTTGTCATATCTCCTCTAATAGTTGCTCAATTTATGAATCAAGGGTATCTTCGTGTTCAGTTCACTCAGAGGATTCCACTTAAACAGGAAATTCATCAAATTTCAGACCCTTGCAAATTCTCCATTGTAATCATTGTGAAAGACACCCCCCCCTTGTAATTATAAATACTTAGGTAGTTATTTCACTGATTGATCACTTTGGCAAAAAATGCAATACATTTTCGAGCGGGTACTCCTCGTGTAGCGGAGATGGCAGGGATATTTAGATACTTAGGGGAGAATCCCCGAGGGATGGGCTCCTTGGATGCCAACGGAGGCAACCCTTGGGGGTTAGGCCTCTTAGATGCCAGTGAGGGCAGCCCTGAGGGTTGAGTTCCTTGGATGTCAGGTGAGACAGCCCCCGGGAGGTTGGGCACCTTGGAAGCAAAGGGGGGGCCCCTAAGGGTTGGGCCCCTTAGATATCAAGGGGGACAGCCCTAGTGGGTTGGACTTCTTGGATGTCAGGTGTGGCAGCCCCGGAGGCTGAGCTCGGTGGAAGCCAGGTGGGATACCCCCGTAGGTTTTGTTCCCTAAAAAACACGTGGCGTATTGCTGGAATTCGTACCCAGCTGCCTGGGTCAATAATTCGCCTTCAATTGGCTGGCTATGCAAAATGACTGTCGTGGCGCACGAATAGTGGTATCAGAATTTCGGATTACAATTAAATAGTGGGTTGAAGGCGCTCTTCTGTATCGCATCTGTGTGACCCTGTACGACGATATTGATGACTAGAAATGTCTTGAATTTTGGAGTCTTCAATCGAGCCGTAATTTTGAAAAATGCTCAATGAACATTTTTGCACGTTCCGAGGGTTTTTTTCTGTAAGTCTTATTTTAAAAAAGAGAGTCCAAACGCTCGGTTCAAATTGTGTTTTTTCAAGCCCTCGTGCTTGGGTCATCGTATTCTAATGTAAGACTGAGAGAGTAATACTAGATAAAAAATGTACGAACATTTTCTTGTGAATTGATATGTTAAACAAAAATACTGGAATATACTTTCTTCACACAATCAGCCACATGGTCACCCAAATTAATAATGTTTTTTTCTTTATTCAAGAGAGTTAATTTGCATTCAACATCCATATATGGGTTCCTAAATGAAGCAAAAAATATCAATTGATACAAATAGCAAAGACATAAAAATAGTATGTCTCCAACATTTCAGGTGTTCGGCTTGCTTTTTCAAACATATTCATGTTGGAATGTCTGCTTGTTTTTTTTTCAACATCATAGACATTTCTCTTCCGAATTTTGTGTGGTGTGAAATCATTGTAATCTCATTCAAGAGCCCATTTTCAAAATTAAAAATTAATGAAAAATATTAAATGAATTGATCAAATAGTTTGATACATGCGATTTATAATAAACTAAAATCTACCATTAAAATTAATATTCAGAAAAAACATTGTTACAATTATAAAGACGACAGAAAAAGGATCAGTCTTTAGAAAAATATATTTTTTTAAGAAAACAGTAAAATTCCCAACAGATTCTGCTGAATTTGCTGACTTTTACTCGAAATTTGCAAAATTCATCCTTCATATTAACCGCACGGGGTCTCCTAAAGAAAAGGGTCGTTGAAGAAACGCGACTATGAATGAAACTGAGACTGTCTCCCCCAAAGTGGCATACGTGATACTCGAGCGGCCCCATGCAGAGACGGGCCTAAATTGAAAATCCCGGCCTCTCGAATGACTCCCGCGCATTCCATCACGTCTTTGCTTACGTGTCGGAGAACGAGGAAATATTTCGCTCTCCGTGCTTTGATGAAAGAACAATCCGGGATCCAGGGGTGAATGCTTCTTAATAATGAATGACAGGGTGGAGCAGCAGTGGCGTGGCGTGCTTTTCGATGTATCGATTGATCTGCCATTGAAACCTACGAAAAAGGATCGATAAACAAGGTGTTGGCAAAGAACCTCTTGATAATCGATTCTTTATCAAAGCTTCAAATGGGGGAGGTATCGATGGATCGATCATTGCTGCCTCTCGCTTCCCTTCGGACGGGTCAGGGGGCGGAACTTCCTGCCACAGCATAATCTCCTTGAAAATTATAGAGGGACTCGGCGATCTGGAGGTTCGAGTCGATCGGAGGGATTTGCGCCCGGACGGAGCGGCGTCCCCATTACTTAAAGTCTTTCGTTGTAATTGAGAGAGACACAGCCGTGCTGACCCGTCACGAGCCGGCAGACACTCGGACACGGACATGAATGTTCGCACCCCCGAGAAGCAATTTTACGAGAGAATAGTTTCGATTTACTCGTGATTGCGAGAAAAGTGACCTTAGTGTTCGGAGAAAAATGTGTCTGGAGCGGGATTCTTGTTGACTTGGGCTGAGCGATCTAATCTCGCGACTTCATCAGAAAAGTTCACCGGCGCACATAGAATTGAGTCAATTAGAGTGGTCGGATCAGGCCCGCCACAAGGAGGGGGGATACTGGGTCCTTGGTACCGGGGCCCGGGCCCTGGAGGGGCCCGTGACGCAGGTGACAAATCACTACGAATTCATGTGTAACCCTCGTCTCGTAAGAAAAAGTGAAAAAATTACCCTAAAAATTCCGCGAAAGGTGAATAAAGTTTCAAAAACACGCTAGGGCACTATAAAATTGTTCTTACTTTTTTAGAGATTTCTATCTATTTTCAAGATTTTGAGTATAAGTAGAATGATATTTTTAGTAACTGCGTTTCATTTTCTTCCGTTGTCGGATGCTAAGAGGCTCCTGTCTGGGCATCCTCGACTTCAATGGCTCAACTCCCTTGCCATAGACGGACGAAAGGGGAGTCCAGGGGGGCCTGGCTCCCCCTAGAATTGAAAAGTATCATCTGCCCCCCTCAAAAAAAAATTTATAGATGTTTTGAATGCAACAATTCGAAAGTATTTGGGGCTGAAAGTAAAAAAAAAAGGCGTAATTATTCTGCGGAAATTGATGGAAAATCTCCATCATAAGAACTTCAAAATGCGTCCAAATACATTTAAAATTTCAAAAATTTCCCGGGGGAGGCCCCCCGGACCCCCCTCTGTGCTAGGGGCCCGGGCCAGAAAACTGGTACCAGGGCCCGAGATGGGATGTGGCGGGCCTGGGTCGGATATGAAATAATTTACTAAAACAGCAAATTTTTACGTTTATTTCGTCCCATTTTAAATTTCAAGGGGTGCTTTTATAAAATTAAAAAAAAAAAAAAAAAAAAAAAAAAAAAAAAAATCACGAGGAAACAACTAAGACCGCTTTTAGAACCTCAAAGTTTTGTATAAACGGAGTTATAAGCGTTTGAAGTTGTCAAATTTTGTCCGACTACTCCTATTGACTCGACCCACTCTGTGCGACGTCTTGAATAATGAGCAGCAAGCGGTTTGGTTCATATTTGTGATAAAAATAGTGTAAAGTTGTGCTAAAATCCGATTCAGGATTTCAAGAATTTTTTCATGATCCGAGTGTACAGTATATCAGAATTTTGAGTGAATTTTTCTCGAAACTATGTTTTTTAATGGCAAACTTCAGACCGCCAACTCGCGTTAACGTTATTAGGGGTTTGGTCCACAATTTTAGAAAAACATTCCTCTATGCACAAAAAAAAAAAAGAATATTAGTAGACACTACGTTTACTCTCTAGAATATCCAGTACTAGCTGCTCAATTTCTTGGTGGTNGGGGGGGGGGGGGGGAGAAGCATATACTGCCACTCAATCTCGATGTCACTACCATTCTTAACTTATTCGTGTGCTCTGGTTGATTTTAAAAAATAATGATCTATTTTGACAAATTGTATTTGAATTTATAGAAAGAGGCATTAGGTACACATTTTTGTCTCTATATCACGTAATAGCATTACACCATCGTGAACTCATGAGGATGAGCTGAGGAAGAGATGCATACAAGATGGCATATAATTGACGTTAGAACAATATGCCCTCCTGCGGGAAAATTCTTCTAGCTCGTTTTCCAAGTGCTAGGATCTTTTTTCGTGGACCATCAGATTTTAGTGATTTCATCGAGATTCAAGATTTTATTAGGGGAAAATCTAGTTTGCATCTACTATGTGTTTCCTAGTGCACAAAATTTGTGTAATGCTTCCTCAGTACTTGTTTAGAGCGCCGCTAACATTGAATACAACTTAATTAACTTCCAAGTCGGTCAAATTGCATGCGTTTCAAAATGAAGGCGTTTTAAATTGTTTTGGAGCGACGCGAGGCGGCGCACTGTTCTTCCCTCCGTTTAATTCAGTTACTTTGTCACACGGAGGCACAAAGTGGTGAAAAGACATGACTCGGCCTGGAGCAGACGGAGGTCTTTTCACAAAGTTCTCCTACAAGTAGACTTGTTTTGCATAATGCTGCTCTAAGTGAAATTGCAATACGCACGCAAAATAAATTCATTTGGAAGAGACCCGAAAACCCTTGACTGATTACGGTCTCCACCGGTGCCCTTCGTTTTCCGTTTACCATCCTTGTCATTCTCATCAGCTTCCGAGCCTTCAATTTCGTTCGTTACCGCGCGATGAAAAAACGACATGCGTACGTTCATACGTTGCCAAATCCTTCTCCGATATATCATTTACTTTTGAGAGAAGTTCAGAATATTTTTCCTTGAATTTTTCAGATACGTCCGATCAGATTGCGGACAAAATTATTTGGAAAGTTGGAAGAAAAAGTAGTAACAATGTTTTCTGGAGAATTCTTGTTCTATCGAAGGAAAGTTGGCAATATCCAAAGGCTCATGACGTTTTTACTTAGCATGGTAGTATGCGTCCCTGTCTAGCATGTCTTCAGCAGGGTTTCTTCAATATTTCTTCATTTTCCGATTCCCTCGAGTTTCCAGGTTTTCTAGACCGAGAACCCTGCACCTGCAGGCTGATTGTTGAAATTGATAGACAGAGTGATAGACAAGGAGGACATAAGGAGTATGGAGCGATCTTATTAGCTGAAATAGGTGGTTCTTAGAAACTACGGGAGAAAATTACGAACTGACTAAAAGGTCTCTCGTGGGTTGCCGTTAATGAGTATGTTATGCCGTTAATGTGCCGTTAATGCCGTTAATTACCTACCTCCTTTGTCCATCGCAACTACTCACCTCCACCAATAGGATCAGTCCATATCCTTTATGCCTTTTTTGTCCATAGTTTTGTCTACCAATTTCAAGAATCAGCTTGGAGTCTTGAACTATCGAACTAATGTCTCTTTTCAGTCTCCTTTCGGTGTGTATAGCTTTTCGTTTGAATAAGAATAGTCTGAATGCGTGCATGTACCAATTCGACGGTGCAAGTCGGCGATCACATAACTCGATTTGCGACGTCACAGACTTCCTATCATACTTTATTTTTCAAACAACGGCAATTCTTTAAAACTGCGTGACTTTTCTTCTCTGCGCGAAGAAAAATTCTGCAAAGACTTCAAGGAATGATGTCAATTTGTTCTCTTTTAAAAACAATAACATAGAGGCGAAGATTTTCAGACACCGCAAACGAGATATGTGATTGCGGACTTACGCCGTCGAATTGGTCGCATTTCTTTCGAACAGATTTAAGTGGAGGCGAAAAACATGGGGTGTGCTCGTTAGTTATCTGGCCGTAAGAGCGAATGAGAATAATAAAGCGTCACTGACGTCAACGGAGATGGATGCCGTCGTCGTGGCTCCTCGTAGTAGTCGTAGTGGTCATTAACTCATGAGCCCTGTTCACAACGCCTCGTGCCATGCCCGCGGCTCATATATCCCGCATTCAGTTGGCACATGGTCCTGTTTGCTGAATTTAAAATCCCGCTTTTCCAATTGGACGTATATTTCTACCAAACAGACCTATGTGGAGGTGAGAAGTATGGGGTGTGCTCGTTATTTTTCTGGCCGCAAGAGTGAATGAGAATAATAAAGCGCCAGTGACGTCAACGGAGATAGAACCGCCGTCGTCCCGCTTTGGCCGCTTCCGCTTTGTCTTTAACTCATGAGCCCTGTCCACAATGCTCTCTTGCCATGCCCGCGGCTCATGAGTCCCGCACTCAGTTGGCACATAGGTCTGTTCGATAGAATGTAAAATCCTGCTTTTCCAATTCTTCAAAAGGAATCACGCCCACTTTTACATTGCTTCTTATGCAGCTTCGACGAGCACACCCCATATTTCTCACCTGCACATAGATCTGTTTGGTAGAAATACGTCCAATTGTTCAAAAGGAATCACGCCCATTCACCACATTGTTTCTATGCAGCTTTCTAGAGCACACCCCATATTTCTCACCTGCACATAGTTGCGTTTGAGAGAAATGCGTGGAATTGTGAGAGTGGGGACTTACCCGTTGTGATCGTAGTCGTCGTCCTGTGAGAAGCCTTTGGTGAGGTAGGAGGGCCTGTCGTAGGGGACGCCGTTGCTGTCGAAGCTGGGCTGCTGGTAGCGGAAGTGGCTGCGGGGCCCGCCGCCGCCGTCGCCGGCCGGCCGGATGTCCAGGATGAGGCCCCCGGGCCCGGTCACCGCCTCCCCGCCCGTCCCCATCCCCGTCTGACTCGGGTCCGGCCCCGTCTGCGTCGTCGACCCCGAGCGCCGCCGCCGGGCGCAGCGACTCACCCGCGGGTCCACCCCCACCTGCTCCTCCTGCAAAATCAACGACAAATCAACAAAAGTACCATGTTGGCCTTGACTAGAGTCCCTTTATACTGAGAGTCAAGACAACACCCCTCATGGAGTCACAAACGGGAATAAAGATTACAGAAATTGAACGTTTTTCGTAATCTTCGATCGGCTCATTCTTAAATTCCTTCCTCCGTTCCTTCTTTCATTCCGTTTGTTCCTTGTCGAACCCGAAATTCCTCGGTCCATTCCAGAGTATAATCTTTGCAATTGGTGAAAATGCAATCTTTATTCCCGTTTGTGACACTGTGAAGGCCTAAAATCCGGTTGACCAATCAGAAATGGATTCGCATTGTCTTGACTCTCAGTATAAAGGGACTCTAGCCTTGGCCAATCCCACCTAATGGGTGATACTCATAGAAAGTTTCTCAAAAATCACGATGAGCGCATCGGCAAAATTCGAAATGCACTCCTTACTTCACAACTTGCATGAGAAATTGGCGTTTTTTCGAGCTCCTCGCCTCAAAAACGGTGCACCATGGCACAGGTGAACCTTTCGTTAGAGGAGTCATTCCACCCAACCCCTGCTCATAAGAATACTCCGCAATATTCAACATAGCCGACGCCAATCCGCCAAAGCACATGCGGCGGGACGATGAAACTAACCACCTGATCACAATTGGCGTGTTAACATTCACATTTGTCTCGTGTTAATAGATATCGTCACCTTCCAGGCAAAGTATCACAAGCGCCATGCGACGTTTAAAAATTTCCGCCGCCATTTTATTTTTTCACTGAGAAATTTTTGGTTGAATCTGTTCGAAAATTTCACTAAATTTTATCGGCAGCACAAAGAAAAATCGGTGTAATTTTCGGACAACTTCGTTGAACAATTTCTCTGTAAAAAAATATAATGGCGGCGGAAATTTTTAAACGTCGCATGGCGCTTGTGATACTTTGCCTGGAAGGTGACGATATCCGTCTTAATTGACCTCGTGCTCTCCTCAACTTGCGCCCGGAAGCGTCGGTCATGTTGAGCAGGAATTGAATGACTTCTCCAACGAAATGTTCAATTGTGCTGTAGTATCCTTTTTGAGGCGGAAAGCTTAAAAAAACGCACATTTCTTGAGCAGATAGTGAAAATAGGAGTGCATTTCAGAGTGTGCCAATGCGCTCAACTTGATTTTTGAGACAGTATTTGTGAGGAACAACTCTTATTTTTGCTGTAGCAAAAGTTTGCAAGAGGCCCATTGTTTGTGGTTGACTGGTTAAAGCTGCGGAGAACACACGGGATCGAACAGTCAGGACTTAAAATATTTGATTTTTTTACATGAGAAGGTGAATTTTTTCTGGGCATAGAATTTCTCAACTGTAGAATATTGATCATTGTCAAGTGAACCGACGACTCTGAGCCGTCCGCGCCGCGCTACAAGCCAGTTCTGAACCGACTTGGCATCGATGCATCCAAATCTTCGATTATTCTACCCGAGGCCCCGTTCTCGTCAATATTTATGTGATTACTCAAACTTATTTTGTACGGTAGGTAATTGTTCTTGTTTTCATTGAGAGTTTCATCGGTATAAAGCAAGTTCAAAATTAAATAGGTTTCTTTAATCCGGGCGTAAGTCCGACAATTCACGAGTTCTGGTTTTCATTGATCACGCAGGAAGCTAGGGCTCATGAGTTTTTGGATACGCCCGTCTAACAGAAACCGACTCAATTGGAGTTGCTTATTTACTTGTATGCCCAACTTTTACTGCAACATTTTACGTTTGACAATGGCTTCAAACTAAAAGTTGTACGGAGGAGGCAAGTATTGCTTACAGGGGGAATGAAACTTCCAAAAATTTTACAAATCACCCTAAAATGACCAAAGCTGCCCCTTGAAAGATGAAACTGAAAAAGCGAGGGGCAGACAATTATCCTAGACAGTAGTGGACGAATTCTGTCAAAACGGTCTGTGTTTTTTTTCCATTTGATTGGGCTAAACGAGAAATACATGGAAAATAATAAAATAGATACTTACATCTCTTAGGTAGAATGTTATTTTCAAATTTTTACAAAATTGAGGGTAAAACTCGGGGTACAAATCCAAGACCTCTAGAAGATCGTCCCGGTGAATCTTAAGTAAATCACAGTAAGTTAAGGCCCTGACGTTGCAAGACGATTTCCCTATCGTTGCATGTTTGCACGGATTCTCTCCGAAAATATCATTTTTTCCTGGAAAACGATACAACCCTTGTTAATACAAATTTCATGCAGATTCAATCATCATACAACTTTAGAGTAAAAAGGAATCTTCGGCAATGTTGAGAACGATCTGATAATCGATCGATCAAAGATACATCCTAGATTTTGAGTCACACATTCAAAAACCCACGAAAGTCATATTATGTAGGAGTACGTCAGTATTGCGTGCACGGGATTTGACGGCGAAATATTTTGAGCATACCAAAAGAACATTACAAGAAAAATCACGATTTTCGCAAAGAGGGTTATTCAAAATCGGCGATTTGAAATGAAAGATGGATTTTCCGGAAGGCGTATTATTCTTTCAATTTTCCAAGAATTTTATTCGTGATTTCATACCAATCATTCGGAAATTTTTAGAAGAAATATTCCTAATTTTCCGAAGGGTAACTCGTATTTTTAGACATGTATTTTTAGGCATGCTCACATTACAACTCGCCGTTGCGTTGTTGTCCGCTTAGCGAGTGAAAAACGCCTTCAATTGAGCTTGATACTGTGCAATACACCCGAGTTGATATATTTGTATCATCAGCACGAAACCCAACCTCCTCATTTTGAAGCTGAACTGCAGTGAACTCGGCTTCCTTTCGATCGAATTTTGTGAAAATCGGTCCTAAAGAGTATTTCTGACGGGTAACTCGAAGTTTCAGACATATTTTGAAAATTCTTAAATCATATTGGCAGACAAGGCCTTAAATGCTTTTTCTGCTCCTGAAAGGAATATACGCTTCAAGGTAGTAGATCATTATCATTTTCCAGAACGATCCGATAGTTTATTGATCATCGAGTATTTTCTCAATTTCAGAACATTTGTTAAGAAATTATATCACTTTGTAGTGCATCAAGTATCCGGCATATACGATGTAATCGAGAATGAATTTGAATGAAGCTGAAAGTTCGTCCTGAATGAATATCGTAAAGAGGCTTATTCAAAATCGGCGATTTTGCCCTACGCTTGGATTTTGCGCGGAGTTGGATATGTTGTTCCCTATCACAAGACACGCCTTTTTCCGGCATTGGCAAGTTCACCCGAAATTTTTCCCGCGCGCTACAGCGTTGCCAAGTTGAAAACGGGCAAATTCCGTAAGTGGCATTAAAATTGAGCTATGAAGTTGCAGTTTTAACGAAAATTCTTTAAAAATTGCGCACTTTTAGGAAATGACCATGTTTTTGATGTCGCATTAATTTTAACATGCATTGTTGCCAATTTTTCGATTTTTAAATTCGACAAATTTTACAAATCCGCAAATACCCAAGAAATCTATCTTCAAATTTGAATGAAAAGTTGTCTAATCGATAGTTCGTTTGATTCCGCATCCGTCGATATATTATAGCTTGCAGGAAAACTTTTGGTTCGCGAGATATCATCATTTTTGTAAACAGCTTAATGGAGCGACGACGCTTTTTGAGTCCGGGCAGACCGGGTAGCATTAGTTCCATGGTTTCCTATATAATTTTTGGCTATGTAATTAATTTTCTAATTTTAATTTTGAATCCGAATTTGACCATTTCATAAAAAATTGTTACCAAGATGTTGCCAAATTGGGCAAAAATGGCTTAAAATAGGCCTTTTTGGCGGATTATGCCCAGTGACTTGCCAGGTGTTGATCAGACGACAAAATTGGTTATTTCCGCAGTTAAAACTCATTAAACTTTCTGCAAGCTGAGTCAAATTCTTTCTGCTCACGGCAAAATTAAATGCGCGACAAGCAGCAAACTGAAAAAAGACACCAAAATTGGAGCTTTTAGAGGTTTTTGTCCTAGGTTTCTTGTTTTCCGACTAAATGAACAATTCTTAGGAAAGTCTGAATTACACAGAATATAACGACAAACTATTGTATTGTTACATATATAGATAAGAGCCCCTTTAACAGCGGTCTCTCGCGCCCCGCGACGCCTAACCGCCATAGTTCCTTGTCCTCCCGCAGGTCCTCAGTAATTTGGAGCGCCTTTGTTCCTTTTAAAGCCCCTTATTGCCCAAATTTTATTCTATTAGCTGTTTACAAAAATGATGATATCTCGCGAACCAAAAGTTTTCCTGCAAGCTATAATATATCGACGGATGCGGAATCAAACGAACTATCGATTAGACAACTTTTCATTCAAATTTGAAGATAGATTTCTTGGGTATTTGCGGATTTGTAAAATTTGTCGAATTTAAAAATCGAAAAATTGGCAACAATGCATGTTAAAATTAATGCGACATCAAAAACATGGTCATTTCCTAAAAGTGCGCAATTTTTAAAGAATTTTCGTTAAAACTGCAACTTCATAGCTCAATTTTAATGCCACTTACGGAATTTGCCCGTTTTCAACTTGGCAACGCTGTAGCGCGCGGGAAAAATTTCGGGTGAACTTGCCAATGCCGGAAAAAGGCGTGTCTTGTGATAGGGAACAACATATCCAACTCCGCGCAAAATCCAAGCGTAGGGCAAAATCGCCGATTTTGAATAAGCCTCTTTACGATATTCATTCAGGACGAACTTTCAGCTTCATTCAAATTCATTCTCGATTACATCGTATATGCCGGATACTTGATGCACTACAAAGTGATATAATTTCTTAACAAATGTTCTGAAATTGAGAAAATACTCGATGATCAATAAACTATCGGATCGTTCTGGAAAATGATAATGATCTACTACCTTGAAGCGTATATTCCTTTCAGGAGCAGAAAAAGCATTTAAGGCCTTGTCTGCCAATATGATTTAAGAATTTTCAAAATATGTCTGAAACTTCGAGTTACCCGTCAGAAATACTCTTTAGGACCGATTTTCACAAAATTCGATCGAAAGGAAGCCGAGTTCACTGCAGTTCAGCTTCAAAATGAGGAGGTTGGGTTTCGTGCTGATGATACAAATATATCAACTCGGGTGTATTGCACAGTATCAAGCTCAATTGAAGGCGTTTTTCACTCGCTAAGCGGACAACAACGCAACGGCGAGTTGTAATGTGAGCATGCCTAAAAATACATGTCTAAAAATACGAGTTACCCTTCGGAAAATTAGGAATATTTCTTCTAAAAATTTCCGAATGATTGGTATGAAATCACGAATAAAATTCTTGGAAAATCGAAAGAATAATACGCCTTCCGGAAAATTCATGTTTCAATTAAGGAAATTTGGTAATGACCGAAGGTGCTTACTTGCCCTTCTTGAGTGTGGCAACTCAGCAGTGTATTTATAAATAATTATCGCTCCAACATGAAAAGTATCTTTTCCTTTGCTTTCAATATATTCATCAAATGAGAGAAGAGTGGAAGGGGGTGTGTGGATCTTTAAGCTGCCATCATACCCCGCTAATTTTGCTCATGATGCGTCTTTCAGTGATTACGAGGTGGTTTTGACAATAGGTAAGATGAACTCATAAAATGGGTGGACTCACCTAATATTGCCATCACAATGTCGTCTCGAAGAATCTCGATGGAGCCTCGAGACATAAAGTACAAATAAGTTAGAACGTCACCTCGATGCACTAAGGTGTCCCCAGGTGGCGCATGCGTTGTCTTGAACTTGAGTGATAACGCTCTGAAAATATAAATGAAAAAATATAAAACGGAGCATAATGCACAAAATCAATTTGTGATGGAGTCTTAAAGCCACCAACCTAATAATTTGACGGGAATGAGATATAATTTCCAAAAATGCAAAAATAAAAAAATACCGAGAAACACTGAACAAAATTAAAGCAAATACCAGGAATATAGTCAATTTATGTCACCGTTGCTCTGATCATATTTTTCTTTTTTTTCCAGAGAGTCTTAGCTCATACAGATGAAATGTTCTAGTTTATTACCTCCACGTAAAATCCAAAATGACCGCCATTGTGTAAAAAATGTTCCTCGTGCACGTAAAACAAGTTACAGAATACTTACATTATTATAATTTCAACATTTGCGGAATTATAAGGAGCGTTACCTTAGACATCCTGGCGAGGCACCGCTGAAGGCGCTACAGTTAGTGAGCAAATTTCGATTCAGGTGAAGGCAGATATCTGCCTGAAGACACTCAGGGAACCCCTTCAAGACGCTGTTCATATCTATACCATTCGTGTAGGTCCAGGCATGCTGTAAACAACAATGAAACAACAGGGATCAATCCACTTCTCAAACAGGATTTTTCTAACATTTTTCCATATTAATATTTTCCATCAGTCTTTGTACCCAATAGATGAAGAAACTTCTGGTTACAGCTTGTGACACTTCAATTTTAGCAAATAATCTTTCCATCTTTAAAATTATGTGAGGACTCATGGTTGACAGCTTCAACTAGGATATAATTTAATGATGGAAATCAAAACTTGGCGGTAGAAAAATGTGTCATCGCTGCAGACTCACCGTGAATATGTCTACTTACATGAAAATCTGAATTATTTGTGTTCTTTTATTATTGAGGCTGAAAAATGAGGATCTGCTGAAGAAAATGGTCAATAAATGTGACTTGAGTACGTTGTACGAACCTGAAAATATTCTTCTAGCCGTTGGCGCAGAGGGTTGGGAATTTTGTGAAAGCGAATAAACTCCCTGACCCGGAACATTTGAATTTGATAGCGAGAAGTCCCTGAATACAGTCTTTGAATTATTGCTGAGACGTTACCAAAAATACTAGCGTACATGAGAGCTGAAACACAACACAGAGAGATTGAATTATGTTGACTCAGCGGAGAATTAGCAAATAGTGCACTGATGAACTAAATAGGAATCGTTTATAAATTAACAAATTCACTGAGAATCAACTGAACTGCATCCCATGTTGCTGACTTGTCTCGTTGGATTTATTCTTCTATGAGAAAATTGAGCAATGAAGTTTTCTCCTTAGGTATGCCTATTTGTACTGCCGTGCTAAGGACAAATGCCGTATGAACATACGAGAATTGCAAAATTTCCTTCAATAAAATGTTTATTTTCGAGGAAAGATATGAATATTTTTCCTTGCCATTTTCAGGAGCTTTAGGTGACACAGCGAACAATATTATCTGAAAAATTGGAAGAAAAACATGCATAGGTTTCCCAGAAAATTTGTGTTTTATAAATGGAAATTTGGCAACGCCTGAAGGTTTATGCGGCGTTTATCCTTCGCACGGCGGTGCAGTGTGGGAAGGACTGCAATTGACAGGCGTTGAAATGCAATTATTTGTGCTTCTGGGATAGCCATGTTGTATCCGAATAACTGAAGGCGCTCGTCGGGTGCGGCGCTGCGAGGCCTTGAGCGCTGGCGTCGCTCGCTACTCCCACTGTGGTAGTTCGATGTCAAGATTTCCGCGGATATTCCCGAGAACATAAAGGATGTACTCACTCGCAAAATTTTTAGAGTCTTACTCAATCTTTTGTGGGAAAAGAGGAGAAATAATGATAAAACGCGAGAATTACGTGAGCAACGTCTAATGTTTTTTAACTGATTCTGGTTGAATCCATCTAAAGTACGTCACGCTCATGTTTGATACGCACCCGTCACGTAGGTCTAAGGGCTGATTCTTGAAACTGATAAGCTAAGTGATAGACAAAGAGAAAATGGAGCGAGTTCATTGGTGGAATCGGGTGGTTGCAATGGACAAAGGAGATAACGACGGTGAAACTACCAAACCACGTATCTCGGTTTGCGACGTCGCAGACTTCCTGTCATACTTTATTTTTTAAATGAAAAACTACTGAACGTCCAGTCTTGAAAATTTCTGAGATTTTTCCTCTTCGTGCGGAGAAAATTCTGTGAAAATTTCAAGGAATGATATTGATTTGGTCCTCTTCAAAAAAATAAAATGCGAGCGTAGATTTTTAAACACCGCAAACGAGATACGTGGTTTGGTAGTTTCACCATCGATAAGTAATTGACTAACCAACAGCAACCCACGAGGAGCCCTTTACGTAGTTCATCAATTTCTCCCTTGGTCTATAGGAACCGCCTGTTTCAACCAATGGGATCGCTCCATTTTTTTTCTTTTTCTTTTTTTCTTTTTTGCGCTCTCTCCATTACTTCCGATAATTAGCCCGTAGTGCCTTTCTGAAATATTAAAATACACCTCCAACAACCTTCTCCTCTCCCCCACTAAAAAGTGGCTTTCCCGTCAAAATACTCGTATATTTCGACCGCGTTAAGCAGAGAGGAACCAAAAAAAGCCAGCGATTGTCAAATTGAACTACGCAATTCATTTTTTCTTTTTACATGAAAACAGTTTTGTAAATTTTTGTGCTTTCGGTGAATTTTCTGCATAGCATGGAGCAAATCCCTCAACATTTTTTAAAGCACGAGCGTTCTCTTGTAAAAAAATTAAATTATCCGGTTAAAGTGGGCAATAGCCAATGTAGCTTGGTTCTCTCTGCTAAATGCGGTCCATTTTCAATAAATCTACAAGAAAATATTGAAAAAATCTGCGCTTTGCACGGATGTTCACGTGATGTTGCGGAGTGTGGGGGTACCTCCTTCTCTCCTCCCTTTACGCACTGGTTACGTCGGACGAGACTTCTCCCCCCAAGCGTGACATAATTTATGAACAGACCTTTCCCCCATACCCTTTATCATGGTTTTTTATGGCTTTTTTACAGCCTTTTTTATGACACTGCAAGATTGGGAACCTAGTCTTGGGACCTGAGTAGGACAATAAAAAAAATCGATGGTGAAGCTACGATACCACGAATCGTGGTCGACGACGTTGCAGATTTCCTGTCGTTTAGTACAAGTCTGAAAGGTGACTGATCATCATCGTTATTGCATACAATTTCGTGCAATTAAGCCCTCCGCTGATAGCGTTTAGCAAATTGATAGCAATCAAGCACTTTGTGCTGTCGATCGTGCGGCCATTCGTAAACCAGAATACTTAGTGCCGTGGCGTGTTATTGCCTGACCAGTTCAACGACACGATGACAAAAAGCTGATGATAATTTGTATCGTTTTTCTTGAAAAACCCGCAAATGATACGAACCAATTTTTTTTAAAATTAACAATCCTGACTATGTATTTTCCCAGATTTAATAAAAAAATCGAAGACTCATTATCAATTGAGGAAAATAAATAGGTAAAAAGGATTAAGGAAGAATAGGGAGAATAAAAATAACAAGAGAAAAAAGAAGAATCTCTCCTCATATAATATATACTTTTTAAGAGAGTCATGTATAACTAAATTGCGGATAAAATTGTCTGAAAAATTGGAAACAATTCTGAGAATATTCTTGGTGAATTTGTTTTCAATCGAAAGAAACGTTAACGTCTGATGTTCAAAAAAGGTAAAAAAAAATGGCAACATTAACGACGTGGCGTTTTTTCTTGGTACGGCAACAATCTAATGTTATATTGCTACAAAGAGTCAGAAAAAGGGTCCTCATTGGAGAGTGTAGTAAGTTGGGCAACACGGGATTTGAGGACTAGAACTTGCAAATTGAGCGGATCGATAGCCGGCCAAGTGGGCGACACCTTTAATTTTTAAACATGCCGTGATTGTTTACGCGCCAACGCCAATTATTCTTCGATTGAACTCGAGTCGAGGCACCGCGCACTGCGGCGCGACGCTACGCTCTCGGATTCACGCCACAACACGGCCTACTTGCCATAGAAAAAGGAGGAAAAAAGGAAAGAGAAGGAGAAAAAAGGGGAAAAGGAGCGAGAAGGAGGAAAAAAGAAAATTGGGTGCACTGCACTGCGGGAAATTCTGTAACTCACACACAATGAGCAGTCCCAGAAGTGGATTTCCGTTGAACCCGCTCTTGCCGATTTGCTCGCTTGCCCGCTTTCTTGATTTACACGTCAAAGCCGATGGAATGGATGTTTCAAAGAATGAAGGAGTTGAATGATATTTGGATTGCATTTTGCAAAAAGGAACCAAGAGCATTCAAATGTTGCTAGGATTGTGTAATTTACATTCTTTGCAATCAATTATTGAAATCATGAAAAAATTAAATTTTTAAAGGTAATTTTCGTCACGCATTCATAGTTTTTGGGAGTTAAGATGAAACTTGTTTAGATGATCAGTTTATATTTGCAAGGTAAAACAAATTGTACAATCTTAGCGACATTGGAATGTTCTTGGTCCCTTTTTGCAAAATGCTATACATTTTAAAAACTAGGAGGCATACATCATTCCTTCTCATAGAGGGAAACCTGCCTCATGGCCATGGCGCAAAAACAGGGATTTTTCTGGTCCTGCAGATTTGCTATTCAGGATGCATGTAAAGAACCTGCGCATGGTGAAACCCTGTCGAGTCAGAGGCGTAGTGTTTTTCCGTCGTTTTAGCAAAAATCCAGTGACAATTAGTTATGTATGATCAACATTAATTTCACGTGACATAACATTTAAAAGATCTGAAAAATCGTTAATGCGTCGACGCTGATTTGGAGCACCTCGGCTATACCTAATCGCACGTGCGGATCGAATGTACGTTTTGTGGGGGTGAAATACGCTGCTCTCAGTTGGCTATATTTTGCCATAGGGAATTACTATTTTTGGATAATTCATAGAAACACGTATCTACGCAGGGAGACTAATGGCACACACGTTGTTTCTAAAATGAACCAGAACAAGTAGTTCCGAGTCGCAAAACTGATGGCCCCGGTGCGATACCAAGTATCTCTGCTTGCGACGTTGCAGACTTCCTGTTATACTTTATTGTTTCTTTTGAAAACTAGTCAGTGTATTTTCTCGAAAACTTCCTTGATTTTTTCTGCTCTATTAGCAAAATAATCTGTCTACATTTCAAGCTATAAAGATGGCCTGTTTTTTTTCAAAAAAATATAAAAGGAGCTAAAATTTTGAAACATCACAATAGATATAGGTCGTTTCGCACTTGGCCATCGATGTAAACCATTAATTTTCCTGTGCAAATAAGTGTTTTGCCAGGAATGGTAAGTAGTTTCTTACTTCAAAATGTACTTGAGTTTTATTTTTATACTCGTAGTTGACTTATTTCTCTTTAAATAAATAGAATAAGAGCCGGAATTTTATAAGACCGTTATACGGAGATACGTGGTTTCACACTTTGGTCATCCAAATGTAGTCTAGTTGGACGCATTTCCGTCAAACGGAACTATGTGCATTATAACGTGAACCCTGTTATGCATATATTTTCATGGGCCTCAGGGCTCATGTCTTAATGCACATAGTTCCGTTTGGCAGAAATACGTCCAGTTTGCATCTCATGCTTGGAGAAATCATAAGATTGATCAGGAAAATGGGCGGACAGAGGAAGTTAAAATAGGAGTTGATACTCACATCCAACTAACATAACACAGATGGTGAAGGTTTTCTCGGCGTCGGTTGTGGGGGCGACGTTGCCGAAGCCAACAGACGTGAGAGAGGTGAATGTGAAGTAGAGGGCCGTGATGTATTTCGACTGAAACATGGAAATCAAGCACGAATAAATTAATGGCCCATGAATACACTCACAAAGTTATATATTTGCATTTCACACCCAGCGATTACAGATATAAGAGCTAGAATTTTCCTCCTGCTCTAACTTACTTTATTGTTTTAATCTGCTAAATGCACTGCGGAGCTTCTTCTATCATTAGTTTCCTTCAACATTTGCCGTCAGTAAGGCACTTAGCATATCGATGGTGAAACTCCCGAACAACGTATCTTGTTTGCGGTGTTTTAAAACGCAAAACGCAACGCAAACGCAAAAAATCAAAGGAAGGAAAAAATTAGGAATGTAAATTACAATCAATAGCGTTCATCTCAGGATTTTACAAGCAATTCAATTATGTAACGGAGCAAAAATCGGGGAAAAATTACAAAAAAATTGTATTTTGTATGGGGCTTCCTTGGTGCAATTTTGACCTGAAGGCAAGAGTCGAATAGTAGCAAGTAGCCGTACTCCATAGAATACACGGTGTACCTGAACGAGTTAACATTATTTTATCTGCCACGATCAAAAACTCTTTAGATTCTTGAACTACAGTGTCTTTTGAGTCATTTAAGCCAAAAAAAGAAAAAGAAAAAAAATCTGTCGAAATTCTGGATAAGAGAGGCGATTTAAAAGTATGTTGGGGTTATAACAGCTAAATCACCGGTGCCTAGTGAGTCCCGTTTTATTATTGAAAAAAAAATTAACTCGAAAGTTTAATGCCGGAGTTTCTTAAATACGATTATTTTAAGCACTCGAGCACGTACGCTACCAATTTTAGCAATAAGGTGATTTCCAGACAGCCGATAATTGAAGGTATTTCTTATAGAACCCTCCAAAAATGGCTTGCTTTTTAGGCAGGCAATTTGGCCATCGAATCAATGAAAATTTAGTTTCAGCACGAAATTATGATGAAAACACACTAAAATTCCGTCCAATTATCTTGATTTTAAGCTGATGCACGGCAATTCACCGCAAATCGCGGCCGTGTGCCAATGCCGCATATCAGCTTAAAATCAAGATAATTGGACGGAATCTTTAAAATTAATTTACATTTAAAGTTCAGTACAATAAATCGATATTTTCTCTCAAATTCAGCAAAAGGTAGCAGTTGATACAAGTATGATTTGTACAGCAGTTATTCGTGCTAAGAGATGTCTTTGTAGTTTTAACAAGGAGTTGAAGACGAAATACTTCAGGATTCTCGCAGAGCTGCCCTCCGCTCGCCATTCCGCGAAAGGAGTGGTGAATGCCCGGAGACTCAAAACGCCTTCCCTTCAAAGCGTAGGCAACACGGGAAGCCGTGGAGCCCGAATAGTTGCATCCAGACGTCATAATAAAATTGACGTAATTCTACCGAACGGAACTGTGTGCATTAAGACATGAGCCCTGACACCCATAAGAATTCATGCTTAACAGGGCTCGCTCACGTCATAATGCACATAGTTCCGTTTGACAGAAATACGTCCAAATTAACTAGGTTTTCTGCGAACGTGACACTAACTAAGGGCGCTTTGCTTGTTTATTTTACACCTCAACTTAATACCAGGGTTGCATATCGTGCTGATATCGTAAACTATTACTAATTTATTCCAGAAGTCTACATTCCACTTGGATTGCATTTTGCAAAAAGGAGCCAGGAGCATCGAAATGTTGCAAAGATTGTGCAACTTCTTTTGTCTTGGGAGGAAAACCTGATTATCCATTGACAGTTTCTATTTCAATCGCCAAAAACTGTAAATTTAAGACCAAAATTACCATGTGTTTTTCATATTTTTTCATGATTTCAGTAATTTTACTGCAAAGGACGAAAATGCACAATGTTAGCATCATTGCAATGCTTCTGGTTCCTTTTTGCAAAACACATTTCCACTTGATCTTTTCTCAAAATGCCCCGTGAGTCTACATTTTCCCGGTCCTCGACTATCCGATCCAGCGAGATTTCACCGTGTTCCTACTCGGCGCAGCCTTTGATCTGCCTTCCCGAAGTCTAGAGTCCCTTTATACTGAGAGTCAAGACAATTCGGCTCATGGATGTCACAAACGGGAATAAAGATTACAGAAATTGAACGTTTTTCGTAATCTTTGATCGGCCCATTCTCAAATGCCTTTCTCCGTTCCTCCTCTCATTCCGTTTGTTCCTTGCCGAACCCGTAATTCCCTGGTCCATTCCAGATTATAATCTTTGCAATTGGTGAAAATGTAATCTTTATTCCCGTTTGTGACACTGTGGAGGCCTAAAATACGGGAACCAATCAGAAATGGATTCAAATTGTCTTGACTCTCGGTATAAAGGGACTCTAAGTCAATCCTCCGTTTCGGATACACCGACTTCCGAAGCCGAGTGAATCATTTAACGGAGATTTCAATTTCATCGGTCTGACGCGGGGAAAGCGGCTGCCGCTGCGGTTACATATGCAGCCGAGCCTGAGATTGAAACTTGTTGCGCGCCTCGTCGAGATTTCGCGGGGGCGTCCGGTCCCCGTCGACAATCGCGTTTGAAACCCACCCCTGAACCACCATGACACCCCCGTAAACTTTTTCTCTCATTAAATCCGCAACATCCACACGGGTCACGTTTATTCCGCGAAACTTTGTTTGACGAACTCCCCTCGGTGGCTCAGCTCTCACATAATGAAAATCGAGCCAATATATGAACGCATTTGAATCGAAAGGAACTATACACATTCTGACATGAGCCCTCGAATCCGTAAGAATAAATTCACGACGGGGCTCATGTCGCAATGTACACAGTTCATTTTGATCCGTGTATGGAAGCGGGCGGGTGTTTCGGGTTCGTATGCATTTCATCGTTCGGAGGTAACGAGACTGGATGGCGTTTTTCTGCACACGTTAGGAAAATTGTTTGTATTGGCGCTCTTAAATGCGGCCGGATTCTCGATTCAACCGCTTGATGAACCCGCGCGCACGGATAGATGGCCGTTTATTGTTTTCCGGAGCCAACTCGGCCGAGACCGTGGGCGACCTTTATTCGAAGGGCTTTGCATTGGCAATACAATAGCCATAGATAGACTGCAGAAACGCCTACCTGACATTGCAACGTTGAAGGTTTCTTGTCTTACTTTATTATTTGAACAGGGAACTATTCGATGTCATATTTTAAAAACTTAAGTGATATTTCTTCTCTGTCGAGAGAATGTGCATTTAAGGCGCACGAGTCGCGATGTATGTTTCTTCCCCTTAAAAAATAAAATAGGAGCGAGGATTTGAAACACAGCAAACGATATACGCGTTTTTCAGTTTCACCGTCGGTATGCTATACTACCGTAATCAGTAAGAACGTCGCATGAACCTTTATGCGTTGACAAATTTCCTTTGACAAAGCACGAATTTCCGGCTGAATTTATGGATATTTTTCTTCTATTTTTTTCAGATAATTTTGCTCGCAATTTCAACTAAAGTCCCTGAAAATTTCAAGGAAAAATATTAATAAATTTCCTCAATTATGAGCATTTCATCGAAAGACATTTAGCATCTCTCGAATGTTCATACGGCGTTTTTCCTTGACACGGCAGTATATATAATGGAGTTCTTGCATGCAACTGATACATTCGATTCAATCAGCTCCAGCCTGGTATATAGTGACGAGAGCTAGACCAGTGCGCATGGAAGGGAAAGTACTAGTCCATATCAATACTTTCAGTCAAGACAAAAACTAAGCTACTAACTAAAGTGTTGAGTTATTTCGTGATATTCAGCTCCTCGCTTCTAATTTTACTAAAAAAGAGGACATGAGCTTACCCTGATGGAAGGTCCTCCCGTGTTGTTGGGAAAGTAGGCTTGTTGCGTGTCTTCCGCCAGATGATCTAACCAGCCAACTTTGGCTTTTAGCCGCGGACGCTCTGCATTTCCAATTGCATACCTGCAAGGCGAAATAATAATACATAATAGAACATCCACATAATGCGTACGTAATACATTAAAGGCGGCTTCACTTCAGCGTTCTCAAGAATGCTACATGTACAGACATCGTAGTCCCGTAAAATTGTGAATAACGTCATGAAATGAGAGATACTTTAATTCATTACTTTATTCTTTAGAAATATATTGATTTCTTCATTCCAGATGACTGAAGTTTTTAGACATGGGAACTGGAGTTCAATTTAGGGAACCGAGGTTTTTGTTAATCATACCAGGACTCTTATTTTTTTCGGAAGATTTTGGTAATCTGAACTGAAATTCGGTTCGAGGGACTGAAAACCTCAGTTTTCTGGACCGGAAAACTTCAGTATTCCAAATAAACTGAAGTTCAGTCCGTGAAACCGGAGTTTTTTCTCCGTGTGAGGGCACTGGATGGTCTCTACGGAAACAATAAGTGTTAGGGGTTATCCGGAAGAATTATTCACACAAGTTCCACAAAATCGTGTTTTAAAGCTTGATTCTTGTAGATTAACTTCAAATAATAAGATTTATTCAAATGACAGCTTCCTACAGTTTTAATACTAACCGAGATATCGCGGTTTAAAAAGTTCGGTTTGTGACGGCATCCACCGCGGTAGTGATACTTGGTTTCTTTTACCTCGCTTTCATCCGAATTTTACGTTTAGTAACCAGAGCAAATGAATGTATCTCTGAAATGTACGTCTGGATGTATGTCTCTTAGTTGAAAGCAAGTTGGAAGAAACCGATGGCGTCGCTACCGCGGTGGATGACACCATTACCCGAATTCTTCAAAGCGCGATATCTCTATTGATATTGAACGTATAAAGTCGTTGTTTAAACGGATCGTATTCGCTGAAAAAAAAAAGATTGGTAGAATTTACCAGAGGAATGGTTACCTGAACCCCTGGTATGGTAACTTTTACCTTTCTTCCGGCAGAATTATTGACTCTGAATTGACGCTGTGTGAAATACAGCTTGAAGGAATGGTACATTCTACCAATCTTTTTTTCCAGAGTTCGTTTCAGCTGATCTAAAAGAATCAAGCATCAAAGCACGATTCCGTGACCAGCGCAACCGATCCATTTCTTGTGCGATATGGGTATTTGCGATTAATTGCGCACAATTAATTACCATGGTGATACTGCAATATTTTTGGTTAGTAACCCAATTTATTGGGGTATCACCAGCATTAATTGGGGTACTATAGGGTGGAGCGTAAAAACATTTTTTTCGAAATCCGATGACGGCTAGTGAAAAAAAGGTGCCTTTTGGCACCAAACGGACCAGGAAAAAATCCTGGCTCTATAGGACAACGCTTTCATCGAAAACATGTGGCTCGAATTTTCAAAATCTCAAAAATCGATTCTCTGACTCAAATTACCTACAAAAATACATATGGTACGTATCAGTTCTGTCTTTTTAATCGTTCAGAAATTATCTTAGAAAAAAAACACGGTAAAATCGAAAATTTGAGATTTTGAAAATTCGAGCCCCATGTTTTCGATGGAAGCGTGGTCTTATACAGCCAGGATTTTTTCCTGATCCGTTTGATGCCAAAAGGCACCTTTTTTTCACTAGCTGTCATCGGATTTCGAAAAAAATGTTTTTTCGCTCCACCCTAAGTACTACCATACTTAATTGAGAGTGTCCGAGTTGGGGCATCGCACCCCTCCCTCTTTTTTCCACGTCTCTTCGTCTCAAAAAGCAATCGATGTTTCAATTCCAGCCTTTGACTTTTGGACTGGACGCCTGGTCCGATCCGGTCGGATCCGGCGCCGGAGATAAAATGGCATGACGTCACGGATGGTGGATGGTGGTGGGTGGGGANGGGATAATTACCAGATGCAGGCGAGCCAGTGTGCGATGAGGGCGAAGGTGGCCATGAGGAGGAGCAAAACGGCGGCGCCGTACTCCGAGTAGCGGTCAATCTTCCGAGCCACGCGCACCAACCGCAGGAGCCGCGCCGTTTTCAGCAGCCCAATCAGCGTTGTAGTCTGCCGAACAGAATCAAAACACACGATATTGGTCAACGTGTCCCCCGTACGTGCCATTCATTCATTTGAATTGCATTTTCCAATCCAGAACTACTATTTCTGCCTCATTCGTCAAAACACTTATGTGAATCGGGTTAATGATGGAACATGCGTTTTTTTTTTTTTTTTTCAAAACTGAGCCAGAAATCGTAGTTCCTAATTGCAAAATGTAGTCCATTTCATCCGATGAAATTTTATGAAAGTTTCTCCCATCGACTTCTACAACGATGTTGGTACCATGTTGAGATTATGATTTTACAAACATTGTCTGTTTCAGACCGTGTTGTCACTATGAATTCGTCACGGATCGCATTAGGGTTGCAATTTTTTATGAAAAATAAAATCTTGAAATTTCTCGTGAAATATTTCATGAAATTTCAAACATTTATGAAAGCTATTGAAAAACACCGGTTCCTTCTCATGTTTCGCGAAATGTATAAATTGTGACTTTCTTCTGTTTTTGAGCGTTTTAGTGCGGGTTGCGTACTCTAGCCCCTGAAAAATATGAAATATTTCACACAGCCTCGTGAAATTTCATGAAATGTTCACGGAAATTTCCAATATTTCATATTTGTCATTTCACGCGTGCAACCCTGGATTGCATACTCCGGCCGTGAGAATTCTATAAAAGCTTACAAAACTTTTTCACCAAGAGGAGACTTTAGTGGATTTAAAATGAAACGGGGAGAAACTTTCATGAGATTCCATCCCGGTGTGCATTTTGCATTTCTGCCGAGAGGTTCTAGCGGTGAGAACATGCTATCAATTCTTGGCGTGGGTCATTAGTCGCGAAAAAGCATGCTCAAGTCAGAACTTACGAAGAGTGAACAATTGAAATATACTAAGAGCCATTCAGTGCTCTTGCGTTTGTACCAGACTCATTTTCCTCAGGCCGCAAGGATCCAGTCAAGTTGGAAGGACAGTTGAGCGATCTTATCGCACCGGATGGCATTCAGGATGCTTTTCATTTCCACCCTTCAATTGGACTCCATTTTGCAAGGAGAAATTACTACTTTGGACTTGCGTATAAAAGCATGAATCTGTACAAGACAATTGATGGCACGTTTGTTATTTCTAGAATAAGTTAGAAATAGTAGTTTCAACTTGCAAAATGTAATCCAATTTAATCAGTCGAAGTTGAAACCTTACATCCGTCCTGGCGTCCGATTCGAGGTCTGAAATTTATTGGAAAGTTCACATGGACCACATTTTGCAATGAGGAGCCACTATTTCTGACTCACTGTATAAACAATACAAATGCCATTGGTTTCGCCATGCAGGAAGGTGCTTTTATGGAAAAACCAGAGATAGTGGTTCCTTATAGCAAAACTAACTCCAAATAATGGTTCTCAGGATGGATGTTGGATTTAAACAAATACCTATTCTATTTAATTCAATCGACGAGCTCAGCTACGACTCATCTATACATGGTGTCCAAAATTTAATATACCATACTTTAATTTATAAATTTAATTACAATACTTTCATAAAATACGAATTTATTGGGAAAGTTGTAAATATTGTTCTTCCGATTTATCAGAAAATTTTGTTTGCATTTTTATCCTGAATATCTGCAAATGTCAAAAGAAAAATGCACAACTTTCTTCCAAAATAAATTTCCTGACAAGGAAAATTCGGCAACATTCAAATGCTCATAAGGCGTTTTCCCTTAGCATGGCCTTACTCCCGACTCAATTTTTCCCAAACTGTGACTTACAGCATATCTGTTAAATTTGGTCCATACCAGCGGGGCGATTATTGAAACTGATAGACAAAGCGATAGACAAAGATGACATAGGGAGTATGGAGCGATCCTACTGGTTGACATAGTTGGTTCTCATAGACTAAGGGGGAAAATGATAGACTAACTGTCGGGTCTCTCGTGGGTTGCCGTTAGTTAGTCTATTACCTACCTCCTTTGTCCATTGCAACCACCCGTTTCTACCAATAGGATCCCTCCAAATCCCTTTTGTCGTCTTTGTCTATTGCTTTGTCTATCAGTTTCAATAATCGGCCCGCAGCCTTGTAGCATTTTTAAAGGGTCCAGAGTGTTTTTCGGATTCGTTTTGAGGGAGATGACAGTTTAAAATTCGAGAAAGAAGGAGTCCAAACTCTATAGACCGGGCTCTAATTTTCAAGTTTTGATCGCAAAGAAAAATGATAATTTGCTTCCTACAGCATTCCCAAAATAATGGATTTATCTACTCCACAAGAGCTTTAAATTCACATGCAGTGAAACTCGTTTCTCTTCGCAAATAAGTGACCAAGTTTTTGAAAATTCCGCTTGTCGTATGGCTGAAAATACTAAATATTCATTCCGGCGTGACCAAGCGACAACCCAAAACTGCTCGCATAGTGAGAAGATATGAAGAGAAAGTTTTGGGTCATCGACATACAAGCGAAAAAACAAAGCAATTTCACGGTATGACCAGTGGCGGGGTGTGGACGATAGATCATTGATTCTTCCCCATTTGAAGCTATGGTAAAGAATCGATTATTAAGTTGTTTGTTGCAAACACCCTGTGTAACGATCCTTCTCCATGGGTTTAAATGGCAGATCAGTCGATATGTCGCAACAGCGCGCCACACCCCTGGGCATGACAAAGCACCGGAAATCGAATTAAGCTCATTTGCTTCCGTTTTTACAGGATCAGTGACCCATTTTTGCTGTATTACGTCGAAAACTTCACAACAACATGCATCGTGCATTATGCAAAATAATGTGTGTATAGTTAACAACAAATTTGATACGCTTCCAGAAGCTTTCATTTGAAAGTTAGCTCAAACGAAATGGGTGTATCTAGGTGTGCACAGGATAAGCTAAACGCAATCTGCTCCTCGGAAAAAAATGTTTTTCTACTGATACTGATGAAATGCGGAGAATGTAAAAATAGGGGAATTTTTTGGCCGATAAGCGGCTCAGCCCCCGAAAGGCGCTTTGCGCTCTCCGGTTCAAAGCTCAAAAGCTATTGTTTCAGAGAGAAATACATTTTGAAGACCGCCTTAATAAATGATTTCGTAAGTCATAAGCTTCTTTTGCAAATAGCATAGTGGCACAAGTCTTTTGAAATAAATACAAGTTGCTCAAAATGATGTATAAGGGAAGCAGTCGACTCTTTTGCTTCTAAAAAGACATTTGTGACACTGAAAATTGTATTCCTAAAAAGGCGTATGCGACACGCTTGTTTATTGCTTATTGATCTAATAAGGATACTCATGTTATATCGGGACCATTTCGAGTCCATTTTGCAAAAGGGAACAACTATTTGCGGCTCATTTCAGAAACGACACATGTGCCTTTATTGTTCCTTTGCATATAGGTATTTCTATGGATGAGCTAGACTCAGTCGAGAGATAGACTGCTTCGTAGCAACATTAAAGTCACACAGATTTATCATATTAAGATGACATAAAAATCATGTTTTTGATGGGTACGGGATATGACGATATAGCAATTCGTCACTCGCATTGCAGAAATTGTCAATGAGGGGGAAAAAAGTACTTTTCAAGTTCCAATTAACAGGAGGTCAAGAATAGAGATGTGGAACCGAACAAGTCTTATCATCGAGATTTCACACAAACCGATGGAATGATTGGAAAATTCCAAAATGATCTACTTACAAGTGAATTCACCGGTTGAGAAGGGCACAACCATAGACAATTTTTTAGACAAGTTCCTTTAACTCCAAAACTAAATTTTGATACATTTTGAGCGTAGGATTATAATTATACACTAGAGGGGATAACAACTGGATCGCATCAGCCGAAAGGAAACGAGTCACAACAGCTATTTCTAATTTTTATTGGATAATGTCTTTTTACGAGAGAACAGCGATTCACATTTTTTCGAGAATTTCAGGAGATTGCCTTTTTGACATAATGCCAATTTCCTGGAATTTTCAAAAAATCCTGTTCAACCGTTACATCGTTTGTATTTGGCAATAGATTATGTGACTTGGTTTCTATTTGTTTAATGTGCTTCTTACGAGGAAACATATCTTGTGATACATAAATTACTACCCCATTTCGTGGCCCATTCTCGAGATATATGCACAAAAACAATGCTATAATTAAGATTTAGGTATTGTAAAATTCTCCTTTAGATTTTGACATGTTCCGAAAAATGATAGAGGCAATTTTTTTTGTTCTTTAAGGGGAGAGGACGAAATTTTTTGATTCCATGCATGAGCAGCAATTCTAATTCACATGCATTAGCTTCAATCTTTGAATCAACGTAAGACATGGAGATTTAAAAGTAAACTTGATGTGCGAGTTTTTGATCAAAATCCAACCACAGAAACACAAGTGATTGCATGCATCATCTACACGCTGATAATACGGTCAAGTTATTAGAGAGGGGTAAACCATGAGTCAGTGGTGTCGTATCTCGACGTATACAAATTAGAGAAACAGTTATATATTGTGTCTAAAAGTCAGTTTCTTCCGTTTAACGAACAAGGATGAAACATTTTAAGTGACCCGTGTGAATTTAATGTTGACGTTACCACTATTCTGATGAGACAAATGTGGAAGGAATCATGGTACGAGAACGTCCATAAATTTCGGTACCTCTTTTAATTTTTAGACTTTCCATTCGCGAAAAGCCCTGAAATTTGACCTTAATATTTGCGTAAGATTGGCCTGTCCCTCCCCTCCCCTCCTCTCCTCGTGTCAAAAAAGCTGCATAATTACCTACAAAAAATGTTGAAAGATATTGGTGATGCTTATATATAGTCGCATCAATTATAGAAAATCGTTAAAACAAAGAAATTCCACTGCTTTAAAAAAGAGGTTGACAGCCATAGGGAGAAAATAAGCAGTTCTACGTTATCTTCTTTCAACAGTTGTTTAAAAAACTTACGAAAGTTTTGAACTTACTTAGGAAATTTTTCCAAGAGGAAGAAGTCTCCTTTTCCTTTCTTGAATGGGCCTCTAGACAATACATACTATAAATTAGAGCATTGCGCAACATGTTTCCTCTTCAAAATGTTATGAAAATAACGAACCACGCGACCGTAAGTCTGGAAATCAATTCTGTTTGAATGGTGTCGAAAATTGTTTTTAATACTTCGTTTAGAAGCTGATATCCCAAGTTCCCGTTTCGTGAGTCGTTTTTTTCGTAGGATTTTGATGAGAGTACATGTGACGTTCTTCGCAAACTCAGACCCTGTCTAGTGGCCCATAGGTATTTTGTCTAATGCAAAGTAGTGCTTGACTCCCCTCCGTTGAGACACTCCCTCTTGACCCTTCCTTTCGACGCCTTGCCTAAGTAATGTTCAGTCCCTTTACACCAAAGTGGTAGATGGTGTTATCCACTCTGTTTCAAAATGCAATAGCTGTGTACATAGGCGAATAATGGAATAATAGGAGGTGAAGGAAGTTGGTATTTCAACATACTTTATTGTTTCTCGCTAATTTGTGAAATACGACCACAAAACCACGATTCCGGCATACGTGAACTCACTGGCGAAACTCCAAATTTGGTAACAATCCACATGGATCCATTATGAACAATTGTACCGATAAATATATTGATTGTTTTAAATACCCCTTAAATGGACTCAATTGATGCCAATTTGCAAGCGAATCACAATTACGTTAAAAGGAGATTCCCCGCTAAACAAAATAATCCCTCTTGAAATTTTGGGAGGAATACGATGCTGTCACTAATTTCGTTTAAAGTTACGAGTCACACTGGTTGCGATAAATTGCAATTTTATTGTAAAAGTATTGCTTGGGCATCGGAGTGTAGTATATATGTATGTCGTCTTTTTAATAATTTCCTCTGATTGAAATTTATTGCAATAACATTGAAATAAGTTATATATTATTAAAATATCTTTTAATAAATGATGCAAAACTACTTCAATTTCATTGTTGAAAATTGCATTTTTAGCATTGAATTGCAAAACTATTTCAATATGTGCGTTGCACGTTGCACCGTTCTACTCGGCAAGTCTTAAATTTGAAAAAACCCTTCAAGATAGGGGAACAAAAGTTCACTACAAGACGGCCTTCCTCTACATTCAGTTAAATTTTCTATGCAGAAATATGGCTGCTAATAAATTGGGAGGGTTACAATGACAGTGGTTGGAAAAATCTTTCGGCAGCAATCAGATTCTTCAAATGTTGATAAATCTATTGATGTATTCGGTTTTCTCTGCATGATTATTTATTTAAAGAAAAAAAAAGACTCATGTTACATTGGTATGGAGCTCTTTTATCACAACCTTAGCTTTAAGGGCCCTTTTTCAGCTCGAAAGTTAATTTTAGATAAGATTACTTATGTTAGCTGATGTGTCTAGCGCGAGATGGTATGCAAAATTATTTAGTTTAAAAAATAGATAAAATCTCCGACTGTTGTAGTAACCTCATTGTAACATTCAAAACATAAAACACAGAACATGCGATACAGTATCAAAGGAAGGAAAAGAAGCTTTTAGTAGACGAATGTAAGATTACTGACCTCATCAGGGTCCAGGTCCAACTGAAATATTTAACAAATACCAACATGATTCAAGCAACTTAATAACAACATCAAAATGATAGAAACAGAGAGAATAAAAAGAGAGGGAGAGAGAAAAACAGAAAGATTCTAACTTAAAAGGCTCTAGGATCTAGCGTCAAACTATATCGTGTTTTTTAATAACTTTCTACCACTCAAGAAATTAATTCAGATTTCTGACTAAGTAGCTACGAGTTATGATTTTCATTTGTATTTTAATTTTCTTTTTGAGGCATTTTCCTTTAAGAAATCTTCGTAATACATGATTATAAACAACACGGCATGAAGAGAAAAGATGTGTGAGAACTCATCCTGGTACACGATAAGCTTATACGTCAGTTAAAAATATTTGACAAAATTTATACGTGGAAGGTTTCAAATCTTGCAAGAAATTTTGTTTTCAATCTCATTATGCAATTTTATGAAAGTTTTTAATGATATTCAGCAGAATGGACCACTACACAAGGTACAAATTTAAGCAGTCTGATGCATGTTTCTTAACCAGAATTTTACGTAAAACATGATTCGTGGAACGATGATTACTGAAACAAACTCCTAACGGAGATACTAACATTTTAATTTCACATTAGTTACGAGGAATTTGAACTGCCCGCTCACAAGAAATTCAAAGCTCTACGTGAGTCAAATCACGCACTACAACGGTTTCAGCAAGCTTCTCAATCGAGCAATGTTCATTTCCCACCATGTATTTTTCAAAAGTTATGAAGTATGTGTTTTTCCATGTGTTATAAGTAATTTGCTATAGCTGAGCCAAAGCGTCAAGATTGAGGTTGCCAGATTTTTTTATCGCAGAGACGTTCATGATAACGTTTAGCGCGCGATGTGAATCACGTAGAGAATTGAGTTTTCATGAGCGGTTGGTTTCAATTCACGCACCAAGAATCATTAAATATCTTCGAAAGGAGTTGATTTCGGTAATTTTCATTGTGTGCATCGTGTTTTACGTGAAATTTTGGTGAAGAAACATGTATTAGAATGCTGAAATTCGTACCTTGTCTAGTGGTCCATTTTATAGATGGTACTATTTTCAAATGCTTTTCGAACATGTTAACCATCTCAATATTTTTAAATTCAACCATTAAGAATTATGAGATTCTTGACAAGGGCTGAACTTTCAACTATGAAACCCAGCATCTGGGAACGTACCGATTAAATTCATTTTTTTCGTTTATACATATAATGTACAACGTTGCTGTGTTCTTTGAAAATACTAAGAATGTAATTGGAGGTAGAAAATTCTAAAAAATTCACGTTTCCTTTTACGTTTTAAGCAAAAGTTGTCTACCTGCTGAGTCTCTATCTGACTTAAAAACCACACGTGATTCAGACCTGGAGCCTTTAGCATTGACAAATGTAAGTCAAGATCTTTCTTTGGTGTTAAGACATTAACGTTATTGGTAAGGTTATTGCCGTAGTGAGATATTTGAAAAGTTTGGCGGGAAAAGTAAAACAAAAAAGATGTTTGAATACAATTTTTGTACCCATCCAAAGTTAGACAGTATCCAACAGAAAAAAGCTAATCCACGTTTTCATTTTAATTTTTTGTCCAAGTATCAGTTTTTAGAATGATGAAAATTTTCCGGAAAAATAAATGGGCCCATTAAATACATTGAAACTTAAAGCCGAGGTCCCTTAAGATGGGCAAGCCAAAACAGCAAGCAACGGTTTCTTACTTCGTTATCAAACGTTGATTAATTCTTTTCCATTGAATTTCATCTAACTCCACGTCCTTACCTGTACAAAATATCTTCACACTAAGAGACGACCTAAAGTTTTTAAAATTTAAAAGTCTTGAATTTTCACCTCTTGCGCAGCATATGAATGGCTTGTCATAGTTGACAGTATTTCTTAAAATATATAAAGATCAAAATATGCCCATTCATGCGACTATTAAAATTATAAAGTCATTTAAAAGTCTTGAATTTTCACCTCTTGCGCAGCATATGAATGGCTTGTCATAGTTGACAGTATTTCTTAAAATATATAAAGATCAAAATATGCCCATTCATGCGACTATTAAAATTTGAAATCAGAAAAATATCGAATGTTTATTAGGTTTCAGGACATTACGTCGACGATTTTTTGTCCGCGCACCTGTTTTGTCCAGTAGTTTACGTCCACGCGTAAAATAAGCAACAGTGACTTGGTCCAATTGTTATATTTTAGTCAGTATGTAAAATAATATTCACAATATCGAAATGAGAAAATTGAAAAAGAAGTAGGTGTTGTTGAGGTAACTCATTTTTTAAATGAAATGTTACTTTCTTTTTTTAATACATCTTTTCAAATTGTCATTGAAAAATATTCGGTTTTATTTCTATTCTTAAAAATTTCGATGTAAAACAAACAACTTTTTTTTATTTATTTATTTATTTTTTTTTAATGAAAATATTGCTTCACTTGAAAAAAAAATTACATTCTTAAAACGAATTTGTAAAATCAATTTCAAGCGATGATATCGACATTAATCTCAATGAGCCGTAGTTGCTGTGTTGAAAGAAACGATACAAAAATGAGTAAAGGAGGAAAAAAGCCAAAAGGCACGCGATATTTGGTTTTAACCCATCTGTACATCGATTTTTTAGAGTATAGTACGTTCAATTTTGAGCGATTGGTTGCGCAGACACAACACTGCAGCAAAGTAAAAGCACAAAATGTAAAAGAAAAAATTAAAGTGCTATGAAAATCATTATACATTTGACAAGGAAACACCTTAATGTTTACAAAACACACATTAAATTTTCCTTTAATATGTTTTTTTTTCATCACTTTAAATGGAAATAATAATCCGTGCAAAGTGAGCAAACATTTCAAATTCATGAGTTGAAAAACGCTGACTCTGCGAGTTTAAAGATTACAGCCTAACACAACAACCTAACGCAGAGCGGTAGTGCTATCACCGCAAAACGAGCACTGGCGCCTACAAACCTAAGAGGATACTTAAACAATACTTCACGCATTGCGTAATGCTGGAAGTATCCTCTTAGGTTTGTAGGCGCCAATGCGCTGGCCAGCCGCCAGCCGCCAGCCGTCAGCTTGCCACGGCGCCTCAAGCAACTATTTCACAACACAGGTGTTGCACAGTATCATACGAAATTGAAGGCACTCAAACATATTAAGAATGACAGGCATCCTTTAAGAGCACAAAACTTTCCTCTCAAAATAAATCAAGATACTACGGCACAAAAAGAGAGCAGAGGTCTAAAAACTCACTAATTCCTAGGATTCGTATTTAATAAAGTTTAGATGATATCATGATATAATCATTATACATTAGGAAACCTTCATCTGGTACAATTCTGTGCAACTTTTCCATGGCGAAATAGTAACTCGAAGCGCCGCGTCGGCGCCATTGCGAAGTTATCGTACAAAGGCAAAATCTAAGAGCCTTTAGCTGATGCTAATCAAAAGTTTTATCCGGTTCAGGCATAACGAGATGGGATTTTCCAAGTCCTGTTGCACCAAAGAGGTGTAGACAGTTTCAGTGAATTTTTCCTCATGGAATTGACTCTCCCCGATTTTTACCTTAAATCTCAATTGTATATTTTTCTCCGTTGGAAAAAAAAAAAAAAAAAAAAAAAAACCCTCACTCTTCCAAGACATAATATATTTCCATCCAAGAACTTCGTAAGCAATTGTCGTTTGTATTTACCTGTGGACCAATTAACTTTGCGTCTCAATTGATAAGTGGACCAAAACTGCCCTGCCAAAGAAACGCGACGAAAACGGACGTAAACTACTACGAAAAACAGGTGTGCTGACAAAAAATCGTTCACAAGATGTCTTGTAACCGTTCATTATTATGGTTTCAATGCATGTTTACTTTCAAAATAGTCCCTTTTTTTAAAAACCCCTATCAAATATTGAAAAGCCCTCTTTTCAAAATAAATCAAGAAAAAAATACGCTTGAAAAAAGAATGATTCCCGACGTGGAATCATGGATACTGAACCAATATTTTGGCACTTGGACCAGTCTCAGGTTTTTCCAAATTTAAGTTAAATTTTTTTCGTTCTTACTTTTTTCTTTAATATAAAATGTATTTTGAAATGTGTTAAAAAATTATTTAAGACTGTAAGTTCTGAATAAAATATTCAGTGTTAATTAAATTTAAAAAATGATTATATGGACGGAATTCTGCCAAACGGAACTATGTACTTTATGACTTTAGTCATGTTATGCAAATATTCTTAAGGGTCTCAGGGCTCATGTCTCAATGAATATAGTCCTGATAGGCAGAAATATGTCCATATTTGGACTGAGTTCAACAGAAAAGGACCAAGTTTTTTTTACAAGCAAAATGAGTCACGTGTAATTTTAAATGCAACAATACACTAATTTAACCATCTCAAAAACTGCACCGTCCAAATTTGGACTTAAAACTTCATCTTTCACACTGAACTTATGGTAGATGAAAACTTTTGACTTCTTTTTTTCTGCTATAACTTATGTGACTTGGGTCTTTCCTGCTGAATAAATGTATGGTCCATTGGATGACGTCATTTTACGTTGTTATGGCAACGACAAATTACCATCAAACTATATTATATTTTAAGCAGATTTTAGTCCAATTTCTATTGACATACACCGAATCAAAGACAATAACCCTGAGGTTGAAAATCATATCCCTTCTTGACTCAGTAAAATGCCTCTGAAGTCATAAGATCTTTGTTTCTACGCAATAAAACCAAGATAAGTACTTCTATTATGAAACATTATCCGTAATTTGCATCGGGAATAGGATAACAACGCATGTGACCATCCACAAGCAGAAGCAGATCTAGCAATTTGGCAATACCGGTTTTCTTCCATTCAAACCTATGTTAAATAATCGATTCTTGTCGGAGCACCTGGCCCCTCCAACAATCGATACATTTCCATATGAAAGAGGTCAAGGGTTTTTTTGAAGGGCAGATAATGTCCTTTTTCACAGTTCCGGTCGCAAATATTCCTGTCTCAAATGGGAGATCCCTTCCCTCGTGCATGGTCAACTGGTCACCTATAAACCAAAGAGTTTGCAGTGGCGATCCTTGTAAGGTGGCAACACTAGTGTACTTCATTTAAATTCACTTGATATATCAAGTCTAGGTGAGATAGACTGCCTCGCCAAGTATCAATTGGTATACATTTTGCAATAAAGTACGAATATTTCTTGCTCGTTTTAAAAACAACTTGTATGCCAGACATGGTCAAATGCAGAAATGTTCTTTTATGTAAGAGCCGGAGATAGTGGTTCCTCATTGCGAAAAGTAATCCAATTGTTTAACATAAATGGATTACATTTTGCAAGAAGGATCCACTATTTCTAGCTCATTTTAGAAACAACACATGGACCGCATTAAGCAGAAAAGAACCAAGCCAAATCAGCTATTGTCAAATTTAACCGGGCAATATACTTTTTTTTACAAGGGAACGTTTGTGCAGATTCCTTTGAAAACGTTGAGCAGTTTGCTTCGTGCTATGCAGAAAATTCACTGAAGTTAGCACTGAAGTCCGCACAACCGTTTTCATGTAAAAAATTAAATTGCCCGATAAATTTGGCAATAGCTGATGTGGCTTGGTTCCTTTCTGCTTAACGCGGTCCGTATATGTCATTGATTTTCCTATGCAGGAATGTTCTTTTGTGGAGGAGCTACTGATAGTGGTTCCTTATTGCAAAATGCGATGCAAATGTTGCGAGAATGGCGACTGGGGGTTAGTGTTAGTAAAGGGCGGGATTGGGGGGGTTGAAGTTGAGATGATTTACCTCCTCGGTGTTGGATCCGACGACGATGAGGTCGAAGGGGATGGCGGCGACGAGGTCGATGAGGAACCAGCCGCGGAGGTAGTGGTAGGCGATCTTGCCCGGATGCGAGACGATCTCGTCGCTCGGATTCACGTAGGTCGTCCGGAAGTTGATCAGGATGTCGATTATGAACGTCACATCCACTGCACAGACAAACACACACACCAAAAACCAATTAGTCACCGCCATGTCCAAGCTCCAGGAGATGGAGAAAATTCCCGTCTCGCCGCACAGTGGGGCTAGCTGGACGTGGAGCGTGAATGGGTGTAGCTTGGACGTTATATGGATCGCATTTTGCGAAAAGGAATCAAGAGTATTCCAATGTCGCTAAGATTCCGCAACTCTGTTTACTTTGCACGTACAAACTGATCATCTGGGCAAATTTTGTCTTCACTTCCGACGGACTATAAATTCAATAGGGAAAATTACGTTTGAAAATTGAATTTTGTCTACGACTCCAGTAATTGTATTGCAAAGAATGTAAGTTGCACAATCCTAACAACATTGGAATGCTCTTGGTTCTTTTTTGCAAAATGCAATCCATATTGTATCTTTCAAAAGCGTATCTGTCGCAGGCTAATAGGAAAATCCGGCATTTCCCAAAATACGTAGGAAGAAAATTTCATGGAATATCATGTTCGGTTATTTGCATAGGCTTTTTTGACAATCACTAGGCTCTTTCAAAGATGCCTAGTCACTTTCATAAATGCCTAGACATTTTGCAAAATGCCTACGCAAATAGTGAAATTTCAACGCTTTCACTGCCTTTTTTCGTATTTGCCTGGGTATCTTGCAAAATGCCGTTTTCCTATTAGCCTGCGAAATATCGATGGCCGAAGTGCGGAACCATGTATCTCCATTGCGGAGTTTTAAAATCTCTGCCACTATTTTATTTTATTGAAGGAAAATAAGCCACCTTTGCAGCTCGAAATCTGTACAGAATAGTATCCTGACAGAGAGGAAACATCAAAGAAGTTTTCAAGGAATTAATTTGACAAGTTTTCCAATGAAAAAAATTAAGTGTGGCAGGAAGTCTGCAACGTCGCAAACGGAGATACGTGGTTTCGCACTTCCGCTATCAGTGTATTTTCGTTGAGGTGCATCTTTAGCACTTTGGAGGCCGATTCGATAGTTGATCGATCAATTGGCAATTTCAGGATTTTAGGATATTTTTTCAGAATATCGGAGCACCGATTCACGATGAGGGTGCGTTGGTACTTGAGAAAGTAAAAATGAAAAAAGGAGTAAGACAAGGCTGAAATATTGAAAAAATAAAAAATCAGAATTGTTTAAGTGGTCACTGGCTCATTTTCAGCTGCTAAAACAAAAAAATTAATAAAAATCTAGTGGCAACCTTGATTCCAGTTATTATTATCATGATCTCCAATGTTCATATTTTCGGACTTTATAATTTGTGCGTTAGGTATAGTATGTCCGGTACACAAAATTAACACACAAACTTTAACAAAAAAAAAAAAAACATTTTGAACTAGCTTTAGAAATACGTCCTGAGTGAATATATACTGCAAACGACAAGGCAAACTCATTTGCTATATTCACTTAGATGTAATTCCGGATTTACTTCTGAGTGTCTCTCGGTTAAATTTTGCATAGAAATAGCTGAGGTACCAAAGCGTAATAGAATTATTTAAAAAATGTCCTAAAATCCAAAAATCATCAATTGATCGATCGAATTCCGAATCGTTTTCCAAAAAGCCGAAGAGTCACCTAAATACAAAACTTTGATGCTCAAAAGTTGTTCCGTTGGTTCTCTTACATACATATAAGTCGCTTTACAGCAGTCCCTCGCGCTCTACGACCCCTAACCTCCACTGCTCTCTTTCAAACCACAAATCTTGAGGGATTGAGCACCTTAACATTTCCGCTTCAATCCCTTCCCTCCAACCTTTCATTGGGCGCCCTCTGCGTCTTCTCCCAGGAGGAACCCAGTCCAGGACCTTTTTCGGCAACCTGTCTCCTGCCATTCTCTGGACATGACCATACCAAATGAGTTGGTTCTCTTGCCAAACTTATAATGAGATGAGATAAACATAAAAATTAGCAGTTTTGTTCAAAAATATCACATGCGACTTCTTGAATTGATTAAAACCACTGTGCGCGGCGGACGCGATGGACTCTTTTAGTGTCGAGTCGTTAAACTCGACGGAAACCGTTGGTGCTCTCACCAATGCTGCCTCGAGTCCCTTTATGGGGAGAGTTACGCCATTTCGGGTCCTAGATCCCACGAACGGGTCGAGAGATTATACAGTCAGTAAAGTTTTTCGTAATCTTTGCTCAACTCATTCCCAGACTCCTTCTCCACGTTCCCTCTCTCATTATGTTTCTTCCTTGTCGTGCCCTGAGTTCCTTAGCCCGTTTCAGTTCCTTGATTGCGGCCGTTGAAACCAACGATCTAGAAACTATAGATAGGATGATCCTATGCTACGCCAACTGTGAAACTCGTAACGTAACACACCAGCGGGCTGGTTGTTGGAATCTATAGACAAAGCTATATGGACAAAGAAGACAAAAGGGATATGGAGGGATTCTATTGGTGGAAGCGGGTGGTTGCAATGGACAAAGAAGGTAGATAATAGACTAACTAACCCACGAGGAATCCTAAAGTTAGTTTATCATATTCTTCCTTAGCCTAAAGGAGCCAACCATTTAAATCAAAAGGATCAATCCATACTCCAGATGTCTTCTTTGTCTATTGCTTTGTCTATCAATTTCAACAATCAACTCCCTCAGGAGCATCACATAGGTTAGGAAGAGGATAGTCGGTTTCTACGGTTTCTAATGGGACTGTTGCTAAATTATCTACGAAAACCGCTGCGCTGTCGCTCTCACCGCTGGCGATTTTTCGAGTTGGCGACACTGGTTTACTTCCATTTAAGTTAATTTAAAGTACCGATTTTAGCTGCCTCCCCAAGAATCGACGGTTTCACATTCTTTTAAATGGAGGAAAGTTCGGGTTGCCATCTTTCAAGAATCGCCACTGGCTCTCGTCGATGATGGCGTGCCAAGAAAAATGTTACATAGACCTTTAGACGTTCTTACTGTTATTTTGACGAGACACAAATTTTTTGGAATATTTGTTACATACATACAAGTCGCTTTACAGCACTCCCTCGCGCTCTACGACTCCTAACCTCCACTGCTCTCTTTCAAACCACAAATCTTGGGGGATTGAGCACCTTAACATTTCTGCTTCAATCCCTTCCCTCCAACCTTTCATTGGGCGCCCTCTGCGTCTTCTCCCAGGAGGAACCCAGTCAAGGACCTTCTTCGGCAACCTGTCTCCTGCCATTCTCTGGACATGACCATACCAGATGAGTTGTTTTGTCATAATATCATGCACGATGGTCTGCTTGGCATCCATGATATCCCGTACCGTCTCATTCCTGACGCGATCCTTTCTGGAAATACCAGCGGATCTACGCCAGAAGTCCATCTCTGTTGCCTCTAAAACCTCCCGGGTCCGCTGTTTCATCGGCCATACTTCACACCCGTAGGTTACTATGCTCTTGACAATCGCGTTGTAGATCCTCCTTTTGTTCTCTTTGGAGATCCTTTGGTCCCAAAGGACTCCATTTAACATAGCGATTGCCCTCCTACCCTGCATATTCCTGTTCTTGATGGCCTGGTCCAATCTTCCATCCTGGGTTAAAAACACTCCTAAATATTTGTAAATATCGCAGCTTCCAATTTGCCGCCCATCCTCTAATTCTATACTTTGCTGATTCCCGCCGACGGTCAACTTCTCGGTTTTGCTGACATTCACCTCGAGGCCCCATTTTCGATACTCAGCCACCAACTTTCGAGTCATGTACTCAGCATCATCTTGATCTTGGGCGATAAGTACTTGGTCATCAGCAAAGCATAACGTGTAAAGAGTTTCTTCATTATTTTGTTACAATATTTTGTTACATTATTTTGTTATTTTGTTCATTATTTTTGTTACATATTTGTTAACCTTTTTTTTAATTTTTCAGAAAATATTCGCGATTATTTATTCTAATATACCTACAAATTTTGAAAAAAATACCGAAAGGATTCTTCAACAACTTCCTTAAAATGAATTTGGCAATGCATCAATGCTCATAGGTCGTTTTTCCCCCTAATTCTAGCATTCCGATCGATACATCTAACCTCATCAAAATTTTACGTAAAACACAATGGACGTATTCAAAACTTCCAAAATTTGATCATGATTAAAAAAAAAAATTGTTTTCTCGCCAAAAATCAAACCTACCACGAGCAGAAAAAAACCAAATTCAAGTACATGCGGAAAGAAAAGAAATTATAGAAAAAACGGACAATGTAAACTATCTTCAGTGTGTTTTCCGATATAAAATCATATTTTCCACCCGATGGATTTCCTTGTCTTAACGAATGCTGCGTATGAGAGGAGTAGGGGAATTTTAATGTAATCTAAAAATTTGTCGATTAATAAGTTTGTTTCCAACGACTGATTCCATTTGCATGAAATTTGATTTTTTATACGGGTTCGAAATTTTAATTTTCAATTTCAACGTGAAAAGTGACCGCTAAACTTTTAGTAATAATTCTACGTAGAAAGAAGCTAAGCTGAGATGAGGTACAACTTTCTCTTCAATAATTCTACTTTGAATTGTTGTAAAACAATGTCTTAATGAAGAAGTGGCAACATCCATTCAAACACGGGCCAAAATGTAAACTGATCGACTGCGCTCCATGCTCTTTCTCAATAGCACCTAATTTCGGCGCACAAAATCTTAATGGTTATCCCATCAAAATAACTCGTGACATTGATGCTCGAGACCCTCGCAATGTTATTTTAAGCCGTCTCCTGTTGATGCACTGGGGAATATGACGGATTGCGCACTTGACGCCTCGCACCAAATTCAGAAAGAAAAAAGGAGGGAGGAAAATATTGGGTCGAACACATCACACTGGTGCCAAGTTCCGAGTAGAAAATTATCGCGAAATTGGGAAAGGAACGCGGAAGTCCAATTGTAATTTACGTCCGTCCTTCAGCTTTTGACATTAATCGACCACCCAATTAGCACAATGCAATGAAAATATTGCAATAAGGTTGAAATATTTTTATCATGAAATTGCAATATTTTCACATTATTAAAAAAAAAAAAAAAAAAAAAAAAAAAAAAAAAAAAAAAAAAAAAAAAAAAAATGGTCAATAAATGCCGATTTTAAACAATCAACAAAATGAGTTGCGCGTGTCAGAAAGGTAAGCAAGTTTAATTTGCAAGTGCAGTGAAAAATTGCGACTTGTTTCAATTTTATTGCAATAAATTTCAATTAGCCTCGTGCCTTCAATATGCAGATTGGCAATACACACATCACTCCGGTGCAGTAGCAATAATCATGCATGTAGCATGTGATTGCATTTCATTGCAATCTGTGCTACTTGGATACATCGATCATCGAGTTTGATGTATCAATTACTGAGCTCTGGCAATGGCAATACACAACCAAAATTCTAACAATTGTGGGGAGGGGATAAAAAAAAAACAAAAAAGAACCGGAAGGGTGAATTAGGCTTATTGAAGGGAATGAAGCAGGTAAAGCAAAGTTTAATCATATTTAGTTAATAGGTTCATGAACAACTTCTACTTTAACGAACAATTCTACGTAACTGACACTTTTTTGGGGGAAAAAAGAGTTTGCGGCTTTGCAGCATTCTACAGTATGAAATGCGCAAGCTGATGATTATAGTTTCTTTCCAATTCTGCAGGAGAGCGCTTCACTGACGTTGTAATGTAAGAACAACCTTAAAATTACAAAAATGGCGAAGTTTCACTTGGTTCTGAAAAATCATCAGTTTGAAGATAGGCTGCACTATTTGTTAGCCATCGCTATGCAGGGTCATCTCATTCAGCCTCGTTGGTTGAATAAGCTTGAATACAGAGCTAAGTTTTACTGTCTTACAATCGACCATATTTTACTTTCTTGCCCTAAAACCTATCCCACACGTATCAAAATTCGAAGTTCCCTCCCTCTTAATATGCACCCTTTGTGTTCAGATAGTCCAAGGGGTAGTAACAGAAATTTTAAAACTCTTCAAGAAACTAAATTTAAAAATTTAAAATTGCCTAGTCCCCGACGTAAATAGCCTAGATGCTGATCGTCATTAAATAAAATTAACTAACTAACTATTTTTACATAACTAAGCAAATATATCTGGTGTAAGTTCATCAAACATTTGAGGAATGACATTTTTTCACCGTGCGCGCTTTCGCAGTAAAGCGTCTTTTCGATATTTTCATCCAGATAAATCACGATCGTTCGGTGGCGTCTGTATTTTGTTTCTGGTTCAATAGTTGTCTGCTTTTTCTCGAAGATCTGGTTCGCAGAATTCGGTCCGCGGATTTTTCTGCGCTTCTAAGTTTCTCTCCGCTCAATACTGTTTACTTGTAGCTTACAACCGAAAGCGATTTATCTTCTAAACTACGAAGATCCTTCGAACTGAACTCTCGGAAGAAATGATAATAAAACGCGAGATAAAATGAATCATTATATTTCTCTCGCCGAAGAGACTTGTTTAGGGAACAGAAGTTAGTTGTTGGAAGTTTGGAAAAAAAGGTTACATTTGAGAGGTATTTTTTTTTGCTTATGATAACATCAAAACTTGGAGGCGGCTGTTGGAATTCTTTCTCCGATTTTTTCTCCTAATTATTCAATCAAACGCCGTTATTACTTAAACTTGTGCCGGTATCAACGACGCAGATCGTGGAACCAGCGTCAGATGTTCTTTCACGACTTTTACTTAATTTATTCAGTCGAGTGCTCTCGCTTATTGAATATTAATATTGCCACTTGTTTCTAGCTCCACTCCAAGTCCCGCATTAAAGGCTTGAAAATTAAATTGATTGGCTTTGTCTGTCGGTGAAGTTGGATGGTCATTTGACTCCTCACCCTACTTAAGTGTTCCGCTTAAAACTTGAGTTTTCTGAATCGTCACAAAATGTCTAATTGCAACCCAAAGCAAACCTGAAAATTCAACACTGCAGTCACAAAAATTTAGCCTCACGTCTTGCGGGAAATACCTCTGACTTTTCTATCGAACTGTGATGTGCAACCATACTCTGCGGGACAAGAAATTGAAATAAAGTTTTTTTTTTTTTTTTTTTTTTTTTTTTTTAAAGTTTCTTGCGCCACCTCAGATATTATATGATATAATGGTGTCTTTAATACTGATATCAATACCGTGTACAGTATGGCGGTTTTAGGGCCGGTTCTATCACTTCTTGTTGCGGATTCATGGATTGCTAGAAAAGGTACGAATCAAAGCATTCTCATACATGAGTCCCAATCAAAATTTCACGTAGAGCTTGATTCGAGTGACGAAAATTGCTTAAATTAACCAATAATTTTGATATTCACGTTTCCAGATAGCATGGGTTGCGGGAAATTTAAATTGCCCCCCCCCCCCATTAAATATGTATTTTCCTTAAAGACTTTTATGAATACTTTTCCTTGAAATTTTCGGATTTTTTGCATTAAATTGCGAATAAAATTAACTGATCAAATGAGAAAAATTAAAAGTAACTCTGCGAATTTGTATTTTATCAAAGGAAATTCGGCAACGTCGGAACGCTCATAGGACATTCTTCCATTGCACGGTAGTGAAATTCTCTTCCCCGTGGAGGGTCACACATAAAGCCACGCTCCAGGTGCTGTTTTGAAACGACCCATCCTCATTTTGAAGATACCACTTTTACTGCTCGTAAGGACGCTTTTTATCTAGTCTCTCAAATGAAGGCGAATCACTTGGGTGAAACCTATGGATACATATGTCGAAAGCTAAAAGTCAAATCAGACTTTTTATCAAATGCCTAGGCAAATAGTCAAATATTCTTACTTAGATTGAAATTTTGATTTGTAATCCTAATTTTGGACAGAATAATTCTTTGCTCCTGTAAGAAAGAATTCCCTGTAAAAATATGCAGCATACGATAGTATTTTAAACGATTTTCAGACCCTGAATGCACATTTCTCATAAAATTTTCAGCGCCTCATAGAACATAGAATTTTTGAAAATGCAAAAGACATGTAAAAAGGAAGGAAGAAGGAGAGGTTGCGGATTTAAAGAGTTATTCTTCCCAAAATATTGAAAACCCGTGAACTCCTCACCATAACTTTACAGAATTCCGAAAACTGTCAAAATTTGACTATTTGCCTAGGCATTTGACAAAGTGCCTGCGGACTGATTATTGAAATTGATAGACAAAGCGATAGACAAAGAAGACATAGAGAGTAAGAAGCGATCCTATAGGTGCAAACGGGTGGCTCTTATAGACTAAGGGAGATAATGATGGACTAATTATCGGGTCTCTCGTGGGTTGCCGTTAGTTAGTCTATCACCCACGCCCTTTCTCCATTGCAACCACCCGCTTCCACCAATAGGATCCCTCCAAATCCCTTTTGTCTTCTTTGTCTATAGCTTTGTCTATCAATTTCAATAATCGACCCGCTGATTTGACTATTGGCCTTGGACAGATACACGGATGAGTAGAGTGCTTGAGAGGGGACTCACCGATCATGTCGACGACGGCGATGGGGTCGTCGACGTACTTCCTGCTCTTCTTGATGTTGTAGTTGGGCTCGTTGAGGAGGAAGGCGGCCGTGTACGGGGTGAAGATGGCCGTGTACATGACCAGGATCTGGATGATCCAGTCCCAGACGGCCTTGAACGGGCTGTAGTGGAGCACCGTCCATCGGTGGATCCGCGGCGACTGGAGCTTGTACTCCGGCAGCACGTCCGCGCCCAGAGAGAGCACCTGAAACACACAATTTCAATCTCAAAAAATTGTCCATTTTCAGCAGAGAATCTTAAAAAATCGATATAACCGATCGATATATCGACTCCTGAACATTAAAACTCGATTTTTCGTGTAGAAATACGTAGGATTTGGTGTGTATGTTACGGGTAATCTAGTCAAACCGGGTAATGTCGACATTACCCGGGTAATGGCGGCAATAATTGACATTACCCAGGCCGTTTTGGTTAGGTTAGGTTAGGTTAGGTTAGGTTAGGTTAGGTTAGGTTAGGTTAGGTTAGGTTAGGTTATAATACCCGCCATCCCACCCCTCAGTCGTCAGGGAGGGCCACAGACGGGACCGGCTAGACCTAACCTAACCTAACCTAACCTAACCTAACCAAAACGGCCTGGGTAATGTCAATTATTGCCGACATTACCCGGTTTGACTAGATTACCCGTAACATGTAGACCATGTGTAAACAACGATAACAACCCCGTAGACACATCAATTCAACAAGAAAATAGCGAAAAATAAGGCCGGAGTTTAACCCCTTTGCCCCCCCCTCCGTAACTTGAAAACGGTTCCTATACTCATTTTAAAATTTTTTCCTGAGTTTTCTGTTATTATAAGCTTCCACTTAAACCTAATTGGTTCGATGGTCGAATCGAATGCCGAAAAAGGGGCGAAATTTTGGGAGGCTCTTTCATGAGGAGACTAATGGAACCACTTTTAGAACCTCAAAGTTTTGTATAAACGGAGATATGAGCGTTTAAAGTTTCCAAATTTTGTCCGATCTCCCCTATTGACTTAATCCACCGTGCGCCAAATTGGCATAAAAGAACGAAATCAAAAACAATCTTCTCTTTTACTGACTTAAATACGCAGAGACGCAGAGAGACCCACTGACCCTATCTATACTGTCTATAGAGCCTAGGAATAGCATCGATTTGACTTTATTTAGGGCGATAAATGAAGACGGATTACATAGCGTCATAAGAAGGACAATTTTCACAAACTCCGCGGTAGATGTAACATTACAGCTTTAGTTGAGGATCCTTGCGAGAAATTGTAATATTTTGCCGTGATAAATAATAAAAAATGTGATAGAACAAATTCTATGATTTTTTTTTTACAAAATTGTAGGTGAATACAAACAAACCTTTGAATTCGAAAAATTCACAAAATGTTTTCTTCGGAAATTTTAATTTTTATGGAGGCATAATGGGGAGATTTATATTCGTAAACTTTAGTTGGAATTTCATCGTGACGAACTTGAAAATATAAAGACTTTTGAAAGCTCTAGGCCACAGGTTGAAAAACTTAAGGCAACGAACGTTGCTCCATAGAGTAGGAAAGACTGTGTGAAATAGGAGGAAGTTATGGTGGAATTACGTTAACAAGCTTACTTCAATTACTTAAATCCCGAGTGTCATAAAGTTCTTAATCGATTAAGACCGTAATAGATGTAGGAATTTAAATGCTTTCATCCGAGGTATTTTCACAACATTGGCAGCAATTTATTCTTCCTACAACGCCCGGCGGGAGTTTGAAAGTAAGAGCTAACTGTTGCTGAATATCATTTGAAATTTGTTCACGTATAGTTATGTCTGGCAGAGAAATACGTAGGACATGGCATCACAGTAGGAGACATCGTCTTCTCGTTATACCATATTCCATGCTCCCGAAAAGATCAGCAATTAACTTTTATCTCTTGGATTGGATAGAGAACAATGAAATGCACTGAGAACGCATTGAGTCCATATTACAAGAAAATTAAAAAGCTTTGCACTCAGCACGGCGAATTAGAGAATAGATAAGAAATAAAATTAACCCATTCCTTGCGATTTAAAGAAATCAAAAAAATTACGAAAGTAATGAGAAATGCAAAACGAAAGATAAACAATTCAGTTAGATTTTATTTGAAGTTTGAAGTATTTAATTTTATTCTTTGAGAAAAATCGTTATAACGTGTTTTAGCATGTCCCAAAATACTATTGAGTTTATATATATTTTATTGAATAAGTTGAAAGGAACCTAAAGTTTCACTTTAATAGATAACAAAAAAGTTGTTTGGTTGATTTTATCGTTATGCGGAGAAAAAATACTTGTTGCACCCAAAAGAGACTTATTATGCTGAGGATAATTATTTCACTTGTGACAGTGATAGTTTATGCGTTGTCATGTAATTCTTCTGGTTTTTATTTCATTATACGATTTCTAGGCGAAAAAAAACAAGCAGGTTTCAACAAAAAAGTGTTGAAAAAGGGCCCATATCGAGATCTTTACGAGCTGAGGGTTAATTGATTTTAAAAATGAACAGAGGACGAGTGCATATCTCAATTGAAAGGTCGTATAATCTCAAAGGTCTCTGTTTTACTGAAATCCTTTGAGCAAGAGCCGAGGTGGTATTCCAGGCATCATTCGCCATTTCAGATTCTCGAATTTTGAAAATGAAAGTGCAAATTCGTATTGCCCGTCAGAAAACACGACATTATACCACGTTCCTCAACAATCGATCGAACAAGAGCCGAGATGGCATTTTAGGCCACATCCACTATCTTGGATTTTAGAATTTTAAGAATTTGACTTAAAATTCAAGATGCCCGTCAAAGAATACTACTTGGCTCCGAGTTTCAACAAATCAATTGAACAGGAGCCGAGCTCACTGCGGTTCCGCTTCAAAATGAAGAGGTTGGGTTCCGCGCCGTTGATACAAATATATCAACTCGGGTGTGTTGCAAAGTATCAAGCTCAATTGAAGGCGTTTTTTACTCGCTAAGCGGACGGTGGCAGTGACGCGATGACGCAACGCGACGGTGAGTTGTTTCTCAAAATCCTGTAGGGGAGGGAGAGGAGAGTGCGAGGAAGAGGGGGTTGGGGGTATTTCTTGGTGGGCGGGAAAACCAGGAATGGATAGGCACATATTTTTTTTAGTGTTGGTTCCTTCCTATATTAATCAGTTTGAAAAGCACTTAAAAAAAAGAAGAAGAAAAAACACCGTTTAGACAGGCGGATCCCATTAGCAAAGGACCAATTTTTTAGACTTCTTTCAGAAACGATGTACCTCTCTGTTTCTTGTGAAAAACGGTACCATATAAAATTGACGTATCCATGTTCATGACTCTTTTACACTAAACTCGGTCATAATATTTTTCATGTATCAATAGAAGTACGATTGATGGCTTGAGTCAGTGGCGTGGCGTGAATTGCGATCTATCGATTGTTATGCCATTTAAACACATGGAAAAGGATCGATGTACAGGGTGTTCGCAGCGAACACCTTAATAATCGATTATTAACAATAGGTTTAAATTGCATTACAATCGATGCATCGCAACTCACGCCACGCCACTGGCTTGAGTATCTTCAACTCGAATCCTTGAACAGTTTTGAGAACTAATTGGATTATGTTTCATCAAAATGTCATCATATACGGAACATTTTGTAAAAATTAAAGGAAAATAACGATTCTTCGGCCTCCTTTACAACATTACAATGCAGCGAGTGCATTTAAAATTCGAAATCAATGACCTAGATACATAGTTTTTTTCTTGACACAGAAGAAAGGATTTACGAGTACAATTTAGAGGACAGTACCCAGATCCGTAGATATCGTTGAAAATAAGAGAGTTCGAATTGATCCATCAACCTACGTTCCTGAAACGGTGAAGACTTGCGCTGGGGGTAGCATGATAGAGACAGCTATAATCACAACTCAAAGCTAACGACGCGTGTTGTTTTTGAAGGATCATCACGGGAGCATTTACACGGTCCATTGCCGTTAATTTTTCGTGTAGCTTGCATAACAGACCGATCCGTCAAAAGTAAGCTGACATATCGTCGCTCCTCTGAAGGAAGGACGTATCTCCTTGAGCATATGAGCCCTGTTTTACATTTAAGTCCATGCTCTCTGGGGCTCGGGCGGAAATCGAGCAACGCCCTTATATGGGACGAGCGACGATGTCGGTTTTGCACTCGTCAAGGGTGATAAATTAAGCTCATCCCTCAACACTCTTCAAATATTCTGGTTTGCCCCCTGTGGAGTGCGGAGAGCCTCAGATTTATCACCCCACAGAGGCACATATCTTTGACGTGAAGATTTTTTTTTTTTAATATTTTGATTCAAAAATGAGTTATGAAATCAAACCCAGAGAAATTGTATGAAGACGAATAAACTATCGTGGTCACAACTGAAATTTACACAGCATGATAAGTCGACCTCGGGTGCAACGATAATTTTCCTCGGCACAACGATACAATGAATAAAACAACTTTTTTCCGTACGTCAATGCACAAAAAAATGAAAGATGAGAGGTATGCCGTTTCTGAAATAAGTCTGAATAATTTTTCCTTACTGATAAAATCGACCTGTCAGGACGGTGTTCTTTCCAAAGTGCTTTTTGAACTGATTTTTAAAGGAAGGGACCAACACCGAAAAAAGGAACGATGAATTCATTTTTGGTTTTCCCGCCAATCAAGAAGCACCCCCTCCCCTTCCCTCCCCCACGGCACCACAACCCCCCGCCCCACGACCGACTTTTGGGGAGGAAACTCTTTTACATCATAGAGCATGCCCGCATACTCATCGTTGCGTCGTGTCGCGTTGCCGCATACTGCATACGCTTAACGGGTGAAAAACGCCTTCAATTGAGCTTGATACTGTGCAACACACCCGAGTTGATATAATTGTATCATCAGTGCGAAACCCAACCTCCTTATTGTATAGCTGATCTGCTGCAAACTTGGCTCCTGCCCCATCGATTTTTGTGAAACTTGATAACTGAGGGTATTTTTTGATGGGAAACTCGAATATTTAGTGAAATTTTCATAATTCGAAAATCTAAAATAGTGGACGTGGCCTAAAGAGCTATCTCCACTTCTGGTCGATCAATTGCTGTAAAACTAGGTTCCGTGGCGTGTTTTTTGACGGATAACTTGAATTTTAACTTTAATTTTCAAAATGACTTTCACTTTCATTTTCTAAGACGGCGGACGCGGTATCTCCCGAAGTGGTATC